CTTAACTAGGCTGGTTGCCGATTTGGGCTCCCTAGATCAATTCCCTTGACGGGTGATTGCTGATGGCGCTAATCGACAAAACTAGCTGAGAGACAGGCGAAACAAAGGGCCTGCATGGTGTGGTGGTGAATGCGTTACTCCCCGGAAGGGATGATAGCGCGTTCGTTCCCCACCTTAGACACCTGTGGTCCAGAGTTTTGCAAATACCTCAGCAACGTTGTGGTTGTATTTCGCTTAGCACCCTTCCGTAAAAATTGTAGTAGGCAGAAAATGAAAATTAAAACATTGAACGAACCATTATTATTTAAAAATTTTTAATCAAAGCAAATCCCTCTCCAATGAAAATTTTTAGATTTTAAAAGGAGAGATAGAACTACACAGATAAACTGTAGTTGTATGAAAGATTGTCCGATTTCTTAATTAAAAATCGAAGGAGACAAGATCCTTTCTAAAATGAAGTTCTAAATGGGTACACAGCATGAGAACACAGCGAGAAATAACGTGCTCCATCGCTCCGGCACGCTCTAATCCGTCAGGGACCCACCCGCGTATAAAATAGAACGAAATTTATTCGATTATTTTAAAGTCGGACGACATATAAACGCATTAGGAAATTATCCTTACTAGGGTTGAAACATTTTCTTCGAAATGGCTTAAGAGTTTTCCGTTAAGCTTTCCATTTATGCTATATTATCGGAGCAGTTCTTTTTCCAAGCTAGCCAACTGGCAGGTACAACTACCTCTAAATTTTTTTTATTAAATTTAAATTCTGGAGCTCTCACTGTTGACCAGAGCATTTTGAAGCGGTTGTGATTGTTTTCTAAAGAGCTCTGAGATTTTAGATTACCTTTAAAAGACTGTTAACACCCTTCCATCCTAAATGGTTTGCCATCTCGTCAGGTATTGGGCGTTACTAGGTCTTGGGCTGGTATGTATAACGAGGGTTTATTCCCCAGAAGGGTGTCCTAAAGTATTCATTAGTTTGACGTTCTATCGGAAAGCGCAGCTATGAGTTAGCGTATGCCATGACAGTTCTCGGTAAGCTATGCATAGCTTAGAGAAAAGGCATAATATTTAAGTATGTTACTCATCGTACTGCTAAGGTAAGCAGTGCTCACTGTGCAGTACCGGGTGCGATGAGTTAAGTGATGTTTATTGGCGGTTCCCTGACTTACTTGGTAATTATGGTGACCATAGGTATGGAAGTAATTCTCCTAACGCATCGCTCTTAAACGCCCGTTGGACTGAAAGCAGGAATCGTCGAATAATTTTGGTAGTTCAAACAAAAGAAGTCACTGGATCTGAGCGCCAGCGATATACTCATGTTATAACGTGGAGACTGGTTCAACTATGTGCACACAACGCCAGTTCAGTTTCCTTAGACGGTAACCCGGGTGTCCTTCTCAGTACCGAAGATAATACCAAATATAACGTGATCCTTTCAAAGAATCCTAGACCAAAAAGACTATTGTTCGGCTACAGAACCTTTGTCTTCTTAGATAGCAAGATTCCACCAATTAATGTTGGTGATGTTGGTTTCGTGGTTTAGCACCCACTGCCCAACTCATCTACTTTCGTAAAATTCTGCTCACCTATTTGCCATTCTGAACTTTACACTTTGCCATCAGATAACAATCAGTGCTGACAACTGCTATTCACCAACACTAGCGGTTAATGGTTTGGAAACCTATATTCTTTATAAAGCTCTCAAGAACTCGTCCGCAGTGTGAAGTCTTAGAAATTTGTTACTGGAGACTTAATACACAGATGGGGAAGGATAGAAGGGCAGGAATACAGAAACGGGGAAGTTCAAATCAGAGTAATGCAACAGAGCTCCAAACCACATTGTAGAGTGACTCTCTACTCTCTGGAGCTCGTCGCTTAACTGTACCTTTGTTCTTGAAGAAAAAAATGCTTCGCAACTAGATGTGGAAATCCAGAATGCTGTAGAACTCATGCGGAAAAAGGTCACATTCCTGTCAATAAAAGAGTCTGTTCGACGTCGAAGATGACCCATCATCCCACCTCAGCTCAAACTAGTGCTTTCTTTGCGTGAGTATTAAGTTTGGCCACAAAGTGGAAAAGTACTCCAGTCGTTGCGCGATAAGAGACTAAATCACTTACAGCGATCCTATCATTGAGACCCTATCCAATTATGCATGGCGCTAAAGTGAAGGTGAGACACCGAAGGCTAGGAGATGCTGCTCGGATGGCTTCGGACCTGTGGTAAGCATGCCTTTTTTAATGCATATCGAAGCTGTTATCGCCTACCGATAGTTCAAAAAGGTTTTAAAAAGAGAAGATATTTAGCACCTGATACTGCAGCTATACATATCGAACGAATACAAGGCTATTCGCAGAAATAACAACAGAATCATCACCGATGCCGAGCATTCCGTTGCATCACAAGAAAAAAGAAGAGAAAGGAGAAAAAGGAAGTCTTATATAAAGGTCTTTGATATCTTCAATGCACAACGTCGGAGCTCCGTGCTCTGCTTGATGAAGAGGAGCGAACGACAATCTTCCACGTTGAAATAGATTCGATAAAAGCAGATTCTGTAAAAAAAAAATATATATCCCAATCTAGTCTACATTGAAGGAAATCTACCAACCTCACATGAATATTACCGGTAACGATCACTTCTGCAGACTTTTGGCCAGTTACCTCAGAAAGGGCGTGTGTAGTGCAGTGGTTAGAGGCGCGCTGCAATACACATTGGATCAATCCCGCGTCCCAGCTCCATCAAGCCTTGCATCCCTTCGAGGTCGATAAATTGCTATTAGACCTCTCTGGGAGAATGGCAGCACTGACTTAACATGGAGGTAGGCCACCACGGGTCACAATATAGGCCAGATATGCATTCAACCACATCTAACGATGCATGATGAAGTCGAATGCACGGCGCATCCTTCAGGGGTTGATCAACGCCGAGAGCTTTGGCCATCTTATCCTTTATCTTGAAATTGGTATGTAAATTACACTGTACCAGTAGACAGAGTGCATACACAACCAATGATATAGTTCGAGTAACGTTCTTTGGCACAAAAGAAGCCAGTGTAGATGACATTCGCGCGCGCACGGTTAGCTCAGTCCCGAGCGGATGCGCGGCGTTTAGCGTGGGCCGATTTTCAACAGTTAGGAACAACTTATCGATAACCAGAGTTCTTTGGGTATTCTGACGAGGAAAGAACTGCTGGACCGTCTTTGGTGTATTGGCAGGTATCATATATCTATTATGTTCCGTAGGTATGAATGACATGTGTACTAGTATTTACTCTGTTACTGTGATCGTTTATGCCAAATAATTTACTGTAAACACTTGGAAGTATTTTGAAAACTGTGTTGAGCGTACTTTGTTGTTTTTGCTATTGCATATTCCATTCAGTAACCGTCTGAATTAAAATGAATTAGCAGTTGTCTGTCAAATTACCGTTAAGCGAGCGTTTTGGATAAAGTTCTTTTTGGTTTTGTAAATTACTAAGTGGCCAAGAAGACTTTTCTGCTGTCACTCTCCTACTGTGATCTGCTTTCGATTAGCTGTCGAATGAATTCACATGGTCGAGTAAAAAAGTTTTGTAACCTACTGAACTGGAAAGGGACACTGTGGTGTTCATACGGTCTCCTGGTCCAAACCCGTGTGGACACCATAGGTTTCCATAGTGAGTGTTGTGGGTTAACTAGCGTGGTTTATAAAGGCTTCGCAAACAACCATGGCATGAATAATCGATATGCTTTTAGATTTTTCAGCTTACAGGAGATTATTACGAGCTTTTTACTCGGCTAACGTTTCGACGTTTCGACGTTTTCGTCTTCTTTAGAATCGTTCGGCCTGAGTCGATTGTCTGCAACCGGTCGTTCTCCAGATGTACGTCTTCGTAATCACATCGATCCGAACCCTTCTGGAACATTGCCTGGTTGACGAAATCTCACTCTGGTGTGCCCTTCCACAGAGGATGGTCTAGTGCTGATTGCCCGCTGATAACAATCTGCTTTCATGAAAGGGATTCATCCTGCAGTAGTCGGTATCATATCAGATAGTCCTCCATAGCAAGTAGGACATAGTTTATTAGAATGAGAGAATCCATTTCGATCCAACTGGCTCTAAAGAAGACGTAGACGTCGTTGGAACGTTAGCCGCATGGAACTCATAAGAATCTCGTGTTAAGTGAAGAGTCTAAAAACGATATCGTGACATGCATTCCGAAGATGTGTAACCTGCAGAGTAAGCATGAAGGGTTAGTTTCAGTTGCATTGACCATAACCAAACACTCCAAGGCTAGGCAGATCTTACGTGAAATGTCGGGAAAACGCTCTGGTACAGATTTTTCGGAACCAATCCTCGTCGACCAGCAAAATACCCTCTCAGATGCGAGCATGAAAACTTGGAAATAAAGTGAATTATGTATAACCGTCTATGACCTTAAGTGCAGCTTCTTCTAAAGTACTCCTTAGCCGAGGTGCTCAAGACTCCAAAACTTATGAAAGTTCTCTAAGGTTAAACACGCGCACCTTTGATTTACAGCATGCGATTGGCTAGTGAAAAGGACAAAAAAGAAGTCGGATAGTTCATAATACTGTGTAGAACATACACATTGACCGATTTAGCTACTTATTTATATCTATATTTCTATCCATAGGGGCAATTCCGTACCACTGAGTCCACGCCGATTCTCCTGAAATTTACTGATCTTCATTGGTTTTTGTGGTTCAGAAAGGTAGTCACTAAGCAAGATGTACTTGATAGCTTCCAAAACTACTCTAAAATCTTATTGGTTTGCTGACATTGCTGGTAAAAGTAAGCTTTATTCCGTTATTTGACGAACTTCGGTCGTCTACACTGCTCTATTTGCTATCGTTGTGTTGTTTACGACACATTACGTTAGAAATGTTCCCTAACCAAGGAAGAACTAAGGACTTCCTAAACGAATTCTACTCTTCTTCTTGTCATTCTTCAATCTATTCATTCTGTACTATGCGGTATGAACGTTTCATTTCTATTATGCGAAAAGGTTCGTCGTTAGTTTTCTTCTTTTCTTCTTTAACGACTTTAGCGAACTATTTTATGCCTAAAACCACTTCCTACTTAAGGTAGCGATCTTACTGGTGTCGAGTATAACGTTCAAAGTTTCCTTAATCTTTTCAGATACTCTCATCGAAAGTGGTTTTTTCAAGCGACACCGTTTTTCAGTTCGGACCAAGTTACTTATCACATCAACGTCTTGATTACGTTTACGACGGTCTGTATGTCACTTATCACTAACTGTTTACCGAACCTCTATCGTTTTTACTTTCACTTGTAAAGTCACCTGTAATATTTTATTCAGGTGTAGGAAGAGGTGACAGAATCGGTGAACAAATTGGTATTCCAACGTTTGTATGTGGTGAAATTGGTGCTTCTATCAAGAACCAACGACTATTGTAAGGTTTTTTTTCTTCGTGGTAAAGGCCAGAGCAGTTTCTTTCAAAGAATCTTCAAAGTTTTCGAGTTTCTCATTTCAGGGTCAACGGTTACTCGGTGAATAAGTTATTAACGAAGATGCCTTTGGGAGGGTCTTCAACGATGACTCATAGGAAGAGAAAGAAAGAGGTTGGTTACACTGTTTATATACATATAGATGCAGTTATATTAGCTTAGACATGCAAGCATTTCTTTCCTTGTCGTCTATGAAGTCTACGTTTTCCTTCCCTTTTAAAACAAGCGATTCCTAGGCGAAACAAAGGACCTGTATGGTGTGGTGGTGAACGCGTTAGCCGCCTGAGAGGTAAGCGTTTCCCACCACATACACCTGCGGTCCGAAGTTTTGCAAAGGTCTTCAGCATCATTGTGATTCTTACTTCGTTGATCAGTTTGGTTTCGATTTTGATTACGGTTTGAACGTGTTAGTTCTTGATGAGGTTTGCAATATCTCTTATCATTATAATCTTCTTTCATATCTGTTCAAGGGGACCATGATACAGGTTAGATAGTGTTTGTTGACTGGTTGGCTCAAAATGATCTGACGAGCATGTTCAGTTCGATCATTTCAGTTCGATCGGTGTTTCGACATGGTCGGGTCTACATCCAAAAAATCAACTGAACAAGATGACCACATAGGATCATTCAAGGACGCTACAGAGAATGTTATCATCAAGAAAAGGTGAGTGTCTTATTGCATTTTCAGTTAGCTTCTCTGTCTCCATTTCGTATCAACTGTCGTTTCGTTGTGCTTTAAGTGACTTCAGTTGGTACCAGTAAGCTTTCCATTTCTCGCTGTTGCGTGCAATAGGGGCTCAATCGGTTTCGGTCGCTCTATGAATGCGTTTAATATTATAGCTTTCTTTAAGGGCTTTCGTGAATAACTCCGACAATCGAGTCGATGGTCTTGCTGTACGTTTAGCATCCCGAGGAATCCATTTGCAAATATCTTTTGTCCATCGATTGTTCATACGCATTTCGTTTCTGGCGCACTTTATTTTCGGCAGTTTAGCTTATAGAACGGAGTTTTTACTTGTGAGAGTTGACGTATGTTGGACCTTCGGGTCCCTTCCCTCACTTGTGCGATATAGGATACTCCTACCGTTATTTGTCGTACGGGATATTCCTATCATCGTTTATGATACGGGATAGTATTGTCATCGTTGTTTCCACTGCGCTTTCTATAACACTGAGTGATCTTTCACATTGCTTAGGTAGCGACCAGGTTTATGACGCATGCGTTAAGGCAGGGAGAATCGTGGAGTCAAAAAAGTGGACACAGATTTTGGTGTTCTTCGTTTCGTTCGTTGAATCATCGAAGCTCTTGAAAGCTCTCCAAATCTCTTGTTTCCTTCTGCTCAACTCTGAAGCTCTGGAGCATTCGGAGATATTCACTTCATTGAGCGTGAGTAGGGAATACGAAACCAGTCCGTTCTACAGGAACATTGTCTTTTAAGATTTAGTTGTAGAGCGTCCGTCTCCGTCCGACCTGCGTCAACAATCAAAAATCAAAGATGCCGTTCTTTACGCCAAACAGTCGCAGATAAGGTGGACCGGACACGTAATGCGTATGAATAACAACCGATGGTCAAAAGCCGTAAGTGACTGGACTCCTCGAAATGTCAACCGTACTGCAGGAAGACCACCGAGCCGATGGTCAGAGTTCTTCACGAAGAGCGTAGAAGAAAAATATGATGCTCGACGAGTCCCTAGAGCGAGGAGACCCCACTGGGCTACTGTTGCACGCGACAGGAGAAAGTGGAAGATTTACTGGCGCCCACTCGAGTCACTTGACCATCAACGGGACTACAGGTGATACGGGTAAGAGGTTGTCCCATTCTAATGTTCGCATGAAGTTCTGGAAGGTGGCGGTGAATAATTTTGGCGAGGTGATATCGCGTTGTCTAACCCCTCTTTTGACATCAATGTTAATATTGTTATACAGTGGTGATATCTTTGCTGTGAAATTTTGGTACAGTTCACGAAGAATCTGTATATGCTCAGAGGGCTCCTTGAATCTGCGGGGCTTCCATAACTGCTTCTACCTCACCTGAGTCAAAGGCCTTCTTTAAATCGATCGGAAACGGGGCGGTCTCTTGTACTCTCAGGATACCTCAATGAGTCTTGTTATCTCGTGGATATGGTGCATCGTACTGAATCCTTTTTGAAGCCCTGCTTACTCATATGCTGCTCGTCAAGTTTTCTGTCATTCCTGTTTAGTATGACTCAATTGAAAAGTTTGCCGACGAAAGACAGGAAGCAGATTGGGCGATAGTTGCTGATACCGTGATAATCACCATTCTTGAACATTAGCACGGCCTTACTTGGTCTTCCACTGAGCAGAAACTTTGCAATCAGACACTTAATGTGTGGAAAGTGGAACAAATGTGCTTATGAGGATTGGTAGAAGGTTCTTGAGGTCTTTTGATCTTATCCTGTCAGAACCTAGTGCAGTTCCATTTTTTTTCAATAGCATGTCGAATTTCCAAAGGGAGAACCGGTGGTACGACATATCCATCCTCCTTTTTTTCATGTGGCGAAACCTGGACGTGGCTGTCGAAGAGATCTGAGTAGTATTCGTGAGTGATTTTCTCCATTGCTTTACTGGACGCTGTAACTGTTCCGTCTGGACGTCGGAGTGCAATCGTTTTGGTCTTGTAATTGGCGAAGCTTCGGTTTGCTTTGCGAATGCTTTTCCCAGCCTTTGCAGCTTCGGCCACTACTGCTGCTCTTCTCTCTCTAAGATCTTCTTTTATCGCCTCTCTGCATTATTTTGCAAATTCGGACCTTAGTTTGCAGTTGCCTGCAGTTCGTGCGATTCCACGCTGGCACATCAGCTTGAGTATTTCTGAAGACGAACGTCTCTTGGTGACTCTCGAACTCTGAGCTTTCACAGCGCTAACGTGATGTTGAATGAGCCGATCGTATTCTTCGTCGTTGTTATCGACAACGGTATCTTCCCAACATCCGACTAATGAATTGAATAAATCACAGTTTACGGTGGTTCTGGGACTTCGGTTTTGGAATTTAGCGGCTTTTCTCCTTTCCGCGTGAAATAGAATCTTGCAGGAAGGATACGATGGTCTGATTTCTTGTAGAATTTTGAGACAACAGCTACATCGGTTAGGCAGGATCTTCGATTTACCATAGTGTGGTCTATATCGTTATGGTTTTCTCCACTGGGAGACTTCCACATTCGGCGCTTAGAGTGAGGTTTCCGGAATTGAAAATTAGTTTGAGTCGCCTTAGTCTTTTAGTGGCCTCTCCGTACTCATCCTACCTAACGCTCTTTCACATGAATGAGAGCTGCTCATTTTGCCGTTTTTAGCATTTAATATCCACGTATAGCTCGCTCGTGGAGCTGTGGACATGTGGGATGGATATACCCATGGGTAGCTTGCAAATCTCTCCTAGAGTAGACGACGAACTTATTTCTTGGAGGTGACTCCTACTAAACTACATATACTTCCCTATCACTTGATTGCAAGCTTTTGGTCGAAATGACTGAAATGCAGTCCGTATTAGAGAGAAAATACCCATACACGCATGCATGAATCCTACCTCGTAAACACTAGAGGTATGTGTCAAGTCGGCCCAGCAGAAACATGGAGTCCATCTCCTGGATCCACCTGCTTGTCAGGGAAGCATATTTTTTATATTTTATTTTGGTCCATGATTAATTCTTTGTCCACCACCTGTGGATGCGCCACGTAGCCTTGCGACTAACCGGCTGGAGATCCTTTTCTGATGGAGATCCATATTGTATGCTTTATATCTGTTTTATATTACTGTTATTACAGCCTTTACAGGCATCAATCGGAGCTAGAATCTAGTTCTGACGTATTAACCGAAGATTGCAAGAAACCATTACTTAAATCTTCGCCTGCTGAAGAATGTGCTGCCGTAGTCCTCCCTGTTGGAACACCTGCTAATGAGGAGACATTCACCAGATCGAAAAGCAAGAAAAGTGAGTTGCCTCTTGTAGACGAAATCTATCTACGTAACCATAATTTAATTTACAGCGTCAGATCGCAAACGTACGTTGTCCGAAAATGCACGCAAGGAGATGTCTGATCCTGTTTGTCCATACGATATGAGCGGAGTTTGGACGTTTGAGGGCTTTCAGCATACAGTACGTTTGTGGCAAAGTTTCTTCTTGTTGTTTCTCTTTCTAAAAGTTTTGTATTGTTAAGTGGTTACCATGTTTTATTACCCAAATAGGTTGAAATACTCAATGCAGGATCGTATCGATGTCCGGATAAAGTGTATTCATTGGCAGGTAACTACAACGACGGGAGAATCGTAAAAAATGTTTTATGGTTTTCTATTTGGGGTGAAAGTACAATGTAGTCAACCACTCTTCTGTTGAAGTTGTGTACTACAATTCATAGCCCTTCAGTAGTTCGTTGTAATCTTTCAGCGTGACATTCCTCATGGTGCAGGTCTCGTAAATAAAAGGAACATTTGTTTTGCCAACTCCGTATTGCAAAGCCTCGTTCATATTCCACCGTTCACGCGCTATACGCTGGAAAAACACATTCATAGCAACGGTGAATACGCTTGTACCATTTTCTGTCTTCGACTCTCCGAATTTGGTTTAATATTTATCCTTTAAAAAAGATAATTTCAGGAGAGCAAGAGAAAAAGTGCGTCTGGTGTATGATGCGTCGTGCTCACTATTCAAAGATCTTCAATTACAAGAAGCCATATTTAGCTAAATGGGTTGTAGAACTTTGGCCAAGTACGTCTAAACCAATTGATTTTGATGTTTATGACAAAGTAATGATTCAGGTTATTACGGGAGATACGAATGTTCATGAAGATAGAGAGAGAGCGACTTTCTTATTCCAGGTCTGTTCTCCAAGAAGTACCGTGGTAGTCAGGAAGACGCTCATGAGTTCTTTTTGAAACTCGCTGATGCTCTGAAACTTATTGAGGAGAATAGTCCTAGTAACGAAACGTACGTTACTATCAATGATAATTTGTTCTTGTGCTATTACTCTGTTTTCAATTTTTTTCTTCGTTTATAGATCACCACCATCCCCCATCGACATAATCTTTGGGGGCAAAACACGCTATGAAAGTAAGTAATTCGAACACTGTACTAGTAGTCAGCAAATAGTTTTATAACTAATCTTTTATAGCAACCTGTGCTGCTTGTGGTGATAAGACAGTGAGATACCAGAAGTTTTTGGATCTCAGTCTTCCTCTACCTGAAACATGGAAAAAAAGACGTGCGCCGAATACTACTGACCTGCTTTCACTTCATATGCAGGATGAACAAATCGAGTGTAACTGTTCGAAGTGAGTTGAGTTTTATTTCTAGTATTCTTAAGTCTCATAGCGGAAGTGACATTTTGCCTGGAAGTTTGTTCAGTGTTACATGCGGGAACAAAGTTAGCTCATGCTTGAATAGTATTTGGTTTTGTTGTGCAGACATTTGCTTCAATTTTTTAAGGAGGCTTCTCATTGTGGGTCATGTCCATTAATACGGTTTTGTGTGACGAATCACTAGAAGTTTGTAGTTGTAGTCTTATTTCCTATCGCTCTTTAGCGGCACTGTATTACTGTGTGTAAGTGATAGTATGACATGAACCAATAAGCCCATCTATGTGTCGTAATTGGTACATGAAGACCGTACTGGTTTTTCTTTTCGACAATTGTCAGAAATAAGAGCATATGTGGTTTATGTAAAGTGTTCCTCCACTTTTGGTATTGTTTAGAACTGAGGTTCACGGAAAATTTAAAACAAAGCGTAGTCCTACTTCTTACTTACTGCCTACTCTTTTTTAATGACAGGGTATTATGTGAAATGTAACCATAATGATGTTGAGATATTTGCAAAATTCCGGACAGGTGGTGTCTGCGGTGGGGACGGAACACGTTATTACCCTTTCTGGAGGCTAGCACATACACCACGACACCATGCGAGTCTTTCGTTTCGCCTTTGTCAGCCGCATTATTGACATAAAGAGCTGAGGGAAAAGCGGAATGAAGCGTAGTTTTGAAGTATTCCAAAGTAACTGCGACAGCTTGTCTATTGTTGACAAAGATCTGCAGATTCAAATGGCCTTTGCCGAAACTAGAAGTTTACTAGGAGTTGAGACAAATTGGTTTTAAGCTGAAAGCGGCCATCGTTTGTTCACCATGTGTGCTGAAGTCAGTACACACAATAGTCTGTTATGTTTTGAATAGATATTCTACTCCAGTGAGTATTGTGGCTGTTGTTCATACCTGGATTGTTCTGCAAACGCTTTCTTTGGAATTCAGCGTCTGTAACAGCTAATTTTTTGAGATGTGGTTCTAAGTGGAAGACTATGTCGTCGAAAATTCTCCGTTGCCCCTCTGTACTTCTTCTTCATATCTTACGTTTTTCTGGTTACAAAACAAAATCCAGCATGAGAATAAATATCGAGGTTTGTCCTACTAGATCTTATGTTAGCCTGTATACTATTATTTCTGAATTTTGCAAATGATACAATTGAAATTTAGAAGAAGATTTCACTAAGAAGGTTCACATATTTGCAAGACGACGAGGACAAATACGAACTATCCGCAGCGATTTTCCATATTGGGTCTTATGCCAACCGTGGACATTATACAGTAATGGCGAAAGGATTCGACAACAGATACTATTACTTTGACGACATTCATGTGACTACATTATTTTTAAACACCAGTAACATACTTTGTACCGATTTCATTTTGTACCCATTACAGGTTAAACGCGTCCACTCAATGACAATGTTTACTGTCCTTTCTAGCTACATGCTATTCTACAGGTATGCTCTGTTGACGTGTTGCTTATACATAGCGTTCACTGAATATTTTTCTTTCCAGTCGCACAAGACCTCAAAAATGTGTGCCAATTACAGAGGATTCTTCGATTGTGAGATCCAAAACGTCTTTTTCTTCTGATAAGATCTCGTCAAAGACAGGTCGCAATGCTGTTATTCCCATAAAGACTTCACTTGACAAACCAAAAGCTCAAATATCTTCAAGTTTTTCACCTAAGAAAGATGTTATTAAAGCAACTGAGTCCTATTTTCCCAGTGGTAATACGCCATCTCCAAAATCTTCCCCCTCCTTTATTGCTAAAGACGAAGAAAGCTCGGCAAATGATTCTACTGGTGATCCTGCGCTTAAGAGCATTACCACGGATAATATCCCGCAAAGCTTTTGTTTCAAAAGTGCTGGGAACGAAGTAAAGAACTTATCCGAGAATACTCAGAATTCTTCGAGTTTTCTTATATGCGATGACGATCATTACGATGTTGGAATGAATACTACTATGGAAGGCAATGAGAATATCTGGAATTCAAATTCACACGGCGAAAAGAATTTCAAACCTGGTGAAAGCGGAACAATTGATACTTCTGATTCCATTAACTTTGACATTTCCTGTTGTGAAAACAAATTTGGAAAATTGGATTTCACAAATGCAGATGGCGTGAATAACAACGTTGGCTGTGGGAGTTCGAATAGAAGATCCAGTGCGTTTAATGGAAGTGGCGATGACATGGAAAAGCATGGTAAAGGTTTTGCTAAAGACCGTCAAGCTCGCAACAAACATTCCACTAAAGCCTTCCGTAATCAAGATGGTGATGAAGTTTCTGGACATTTGTCACGAAGACGTAAGGCACAGGTCAAGCTATAACCAAATGCATGTTGGAGCTCCACTGTAAACATCCCAGGTGAATAGGTTATCTTTCGGTGTTTGTTTTTACGTGGTAGTTCTTTCACTTTTTTGCCGTTCCATGCCAGCATTTATCTAACAGTGGTTTTTACACTATTTTTCTTCCACACAACTCTTCGAAATACTAGGGCATCCTAGAAATTTCCTGTTTTTTTTATTAGCAGTTCTAGTAGTCTATTAGTAGTTAGCATATTTGTGTTTAGATTTTTGTTCGTTTCTTTGATCACCACTATGCCCACTTTGATGAGAAGAAATCTTTACTGTCTATAAAACTGTTTTTTTCCAGTAATTTTTGTTTGTTTTAATATGAAACCATTCACCCATACACATGTGCAGCAAAATCACACTATTGTATGTCTTGATAAAACAGCCTACCATCAGAGTAGGATGTGAAATTACAATTTAAAGAAACTTAGAAGAGGGACAACAAAGCAGAAAATGCAACTTGATCAACTGGCAGTACGGTAAGATTGGAAGAGAGAGCAATTACGTGGTATGTGGATCGTGAGAGTTACCATGGAAATGCTATAAACACAATTGCTGTCTGCATGCATGATCACAGGGTCACCACTACCACGCATATTAAGTCGTTGACAAATAACCAGAAACACCCTTCCGCTAGAAACAAACGGCTGAACTACTATTTGAAGTAAGGTTACCAATACCATGTCCTGCGATAACGATTTCTGGTAATTGATGTTTGTCTTGTTGGATACTTGAGTAGCCTGTCCTCACTGATTGTGCGCGTCGCAGGATAATTTCCATTCTCGGGGTTTTGCTAGTTTAGCCATTATGTTTCTCTGGAGTCCCGTGGTCAGACTAGCTAAAGTCTGTCCCACGTCGTCGCCGCAATACCGGACTCCTCAACTTGAGAGGCCCTGCTAGTGGGATGGATGAATCCCCTGTTGTACATCGCAGCCCGAAACCTATGGAAACTTCTCAGTCACAATGAACCGATAAAACGTTGAGAGAGGATGATTAGTGATAGCCACAAATCTAAAAGTAGGGTTTGTTCGAAAAAAAGCACAGGATCTTCCACCAGGTGACCGGCCAATTTTTCGGTGAGCGATCAAAGAAATGTATGGCGTTATTGACGTATTACTGAGAAGTGGGACAGGAGAGCCAATTTTAGGACAAATATTGGAACACAGGCAATAAGATCATCGATTTTCATGTGATTTCTCAAGAAGCTAGATGAAGATCTATTCTATTTAAGAACAGGATAATCACCAGGATAACTGGTGTCTTGTTATCGGGACAAAACGAGTAAGAAGCAGTGGTATCGTTAAAACATTCCAATCTTATATCTTAATGCTCAGCATAGCATATAATCTTTCAGAATTCTTTTAGCTTTGAAATTCCGTTAATTACGCTACAGTGCGCAAATATTTATCCAGCTAATCACCGTACAAAGCATATAAGCAGCACAGAGCAACTCTACGTCATCAAACTGGCAAGTTTTGTCTCAACAGCTAGTAGGAAGTCTTCGGTCAGAAGGAACATACCATTCTCAGAACCTTTTTTTGAACCATGAATACAAATAGAAAGGTCCTTTGTCATTCTTCCCTCCTCTATGGTCTCAATGCATGCCTTTTCCAAAGTTAGCGAAAATCTGCGGTTAAAAAGTGGAGAAAAGATGTTTGAAAATGACGGTGATAAATCATTTAAAGACAAACCTTTTCAACATTTCGTTCTGGTCTAGAACTCCTCGATGATGTAGCCCTCGTGTCCAAGCAAAAATTGAAGCAACAGGGTTCGTAGAAGTGGGATTTCCCTGCACCACTATATTCTATATCGGATCGTTCCGTAGTAGTAAGCTTTTTACACATATCAATTCAAAAATAGGTTTAGATAGAAATTATTGCTTGTTTTCCTAAATAAAATTACTAATTTAGATAGTGGAACTTAAAGAAATCACTAAGTACAGATTAGTGAATTTAGCTTTGAAAGACGAAGGAAGTTTCCATACTTTTTGGTGTTCTCTGTAGTGCCTAGTAACAGTGCCATGTGCAGCTTCTGCTTCGATCGTTTTTCCATCTGGACACACCAACACTGACGCCATTAAACCAAGAGAACCATAACCTTGAAGATAACGTAATATTTTATGGCAAAGCAATGCCTGAGTAAATCGGTTTTTTTGCCTAACCCTGTGCAACAATGTCACTCTGAACATCACCATCGTAGTTCTTACACGCCCAAACAAAACCTCCCGCACTTTTCAAGCATTGAGCGACCTAAAACAGGACATTCATACTCTGTTTAAATCAATATGAGTCCCTAATGACCGCGAAGCCTATACTAAAGGGAAACCGCATTTCTTTTTACCATGCGGAAACCGAACAAAGAATCGTTAAGAGCCTGTTGGCAAGTGTCACGTTATATCTCTCTATAACTATATCTAACTATACTTAAATGGCACAAAACATCAAATCCCGTTCTACTGACAAACTAACATTACCTGGTCATCAATTAATCTGTGTTCATAAAATATGCCGGCCGTTTTGAAATCTGACTCATAAGTCCTGAAAAAAGAACAGTGCACGCTTGCGTTATAACTAGTACTCAGTTTTCCGGGTATTACGTTGAATATATCTCCTGGAAAATGCCTTTAAATCGTCCGTCGTATTGTTTTAGAATTGTATTTTTCGTGCTAAGATACAGAGGCCACTTCTTCATTAATGCGTATTGGAAGCATGAATGTGCAAAGCCTCGTATGCTCTAAATGTGAAGATACAAAAGATACAATGAAAAAATATAAGTCCTCTATCACTTTTCTTCTATGGCCATAGTGGAGACCAGTCAGAAAGCGAAACCATGAATTAGAAGTGGCGAACCTCGTCAGTGTTATACATAGCCATTCCAATGCCACTTGATTTATCAAATGTAAATACATTTCTTACATTTTCCTTGCCATCTGGTCCTAAAAAAGATGTATCTAAAAGTATTTTGAATACAATCACCATTAAAGCATAAATAAGGAAACAAGTAATCTATGCATACCTTTAATTACCAGTTGCAACGTTGACCCTTGTGGTATCACTACATCGGTAGCTTTATACTGAATTATTATTAGATACATATTCTATGAAAAAACCTTGGAACAATAGGTGAACATTTCCACTCTCCAGATGTACTACTGCGAACACACTGTAGTCTCATAATATTTGATAGAATGGAAATGCTATATTATAGAAGAACAACAGTAACAAAATTCGATTCAATCGTAGTAAAAGCATAGGTAACCAAATTTCAACTATTTCAACTCCAAAACGAACAAAAGTGCCCAAAGGCTTATCTAGAATAGCAACGAATAACAAAAGATAAGGGATAAATCTCTCTCGGCTCTGATCAGTCCTTGAGGGATGCGCCATGCATTCGACTCCATTCGTAGCGCCACTGGAGGTGACTGAATCCATATCTGGCCTTTACATTGAGTTGCGGTGGCCCACCGATGTATCGAGATGTGTTACTGTTCTTCAAGACAAGTCTGGTATCAGTTTGCCGACCTCGGAGGTGTGGAGAGCTTGGTGGACCTGGTATGTGGTGATCGACCTCATGTGTAGCGCTACGCGTGCCCCTCCAAATAGCGATGAACACCATGCATACATGTATACGCTGTTATATGGAAGTCCGATTAATATACCTGATCTCCGAATGCATGTCGACCAATGACTATCGGCTTTTTCCAGCCCGGTACAAGACGTGGAATGTTCTTACACAGAATTGGTTCACGAAAAACCGTACCTATTAACAGAAAGAAATTAGAGCTCAGAAAAGCTTTTGGAAAACAAATGGAGTGTGGCCATACAGAATAGGTTCCTGATTAGTCACTCACCACCGAGAATATTGCGAATTGTTCCGTTCGGCGAAAGCCACATCTTTTTCAACTTGAACTCCTTTACTCTAAATTTGGGCATTAAGAAAATCGATAACCTAACGAAAGTAGGATTACTCAAGAGAAATAAACGCACCTTGCCTCATCCGGTGTGATTGTAGCACATTTGATGCCAACATTGTATTTCTTGATCGCTTCAGCAGCAACACGGGTAACCTGAGCTCATACAATCAGGGTCAGGGGACAACACATGAAAACGTCAAAACCATAGAAGAACATCCCACCTCGTCATTGGTTTCATCTCTGTTGGGTAAGCCAAGATCGAAGTACTGGATATCAATATCAAGATACGGAAGAATGAGCTACAAGAAACAATGGTAGGAATGTAAGAATGTAGGAAAAGAGTGAAAAATGAAGTCTACATAACATATCAACATTTCTCCACTTACGGTCAGTTGTTACTTCGGACCTCTTTAATCAACAAGTAACGTAAATACTCATCATGAAACTTTTCCACATAGCGCGCGTAACAGCTGCACCGTGGCACTTTTCCACTTTTTCCACGCATAACTTCTGCTCTGTCGAATTCGCTCTTTCAAGAAAGACGAATAGCATCATACTTCTCTTTTTCTGTCTTCTGCGATTTGTAACGATAAATAATCACGAGATCACTAGGGAGGGGGATAGAAGTTGGGGTAAGAGGGAAAGCGCCTATTGTCTACGGTCCTGCCCAAAGTTTTTTAAGCGACATAGATAAGAGCATCAGTCATAACTAGGGATAGTAACAATGCAAGATAAAAGTGAAGCAAAGGAGGCAAACACCACCTCTTCTTGGCAAAAGATATTTTCTTTGTAAGCTGATTGATCTCAATAGGAGACGCGCACGATCGCTGTTAAACCTCAATTCTTCTATAATGGCTGACCATGGTTTTAGAATAAGTCGTTAGAAGCAAAACATAAAAACCGCACCTTTTTCTTAATCTCAGCCCAGATGATTCGTGTCATTTCATCGCCGTCCAGTTCCACCACTGGATTGGCTACCTTGATTTTCGGCCTGCTTGAAAAAACTGCTGAAGCGATCGAGCGCGAAGACGTGAGAAATCGCCGCACATTCCACATCTGACAACAGAATAACTTAGAAGAATTACTAACAGTTAAGTATTAGTAAGTAGCAGTAAACGATAAACGGTATAATTATAATGACTCACTTAAAAGTAAGTAATATCTCAGTTATACCCAGAGAAGAAAACAATCGGATATGGAGGGACACCTAGCCAAACGTGTTGAGCGACATGTCCCGCCTATTTTTGGAGCCGTCCGCAATTTCGGCCAACTCAACAAGTAAACGTCATGGTCCGACTATATTGTGTATCCAAGGTTGTAGAGGTAAGAACTGTCTTGTTAGAATTCATTTGAAGGAAGTTATGTATTGTAAGGGGGCAATTGTGCCTAGTGTTTGAAAAAAGCCTAAAGTAAAGTTATTGGGAGTGAAGCTAGTTCTAAAGGAATTCAACCGGTAATATTCAACGGGTAATAAGAAGTCGGAAGTTATTCCTTAAGGTTAACGGACTCTTTCTGTTTATAAGATCTAATGAGTTTTATTGATATCTTATTCGCAGTACTTATGAAAGAATCTTGTACAACTTCTTCAGCATCGAAAGTAATCGCTAGTTGTTACAAGTGCAGTGAGCATCAGTCGCTCGAAAGCTCGTTCTCACCTTGGCCTGATGTCACCTAGCCGAACGCAGTTACTGTTTGCTAATTTATGCACCATCGGGTTAGTAATTCTGTATGTAAATGTTCGTTTAAATAGTGAGCAGCAAAGGAACGCACAGAAAACGACTTCTACCGATGTGGGTCCAAGGTCGAACCTTATCGTGATTTATAATAGGGTAAGTGAACATTTGTTAAGGTTGCAATCTGTTATTAATCCTTAGCATTTCTTCAGATACCTAAAACCGGTTCAACTACAGTCACTAACGCCGTTGCCTATGACTTGTATAAAGTTAATGGGTTTAATGTTATACACTTGAATATGACGAAAAATAGACAGGTAAGAAGATTTTCTTCCTTTTCTGCCTAAATCTCTTATACTTTCCACAGCTGGAAAGAGAAGATTGTTTAAGGTGATGAGTCTTACTGATCAAAGTGAATTTATCGCCAACATAACTTCGTGGTCCGAACGAAAGCCGGCATTCTATCATGGTCACGTTGCCTTCGTCGATTTTGGACGGTTAAGTATTTTACTTATCTCATTAGCATCTTCTCTGACATCTAAACCGATAATTCCTTAATCCGTAGAGATCGTTTTAAGGTTCGGAATCCAAAATCCTATCTATATTAACATTGTTCGAGAACCACTTGAGCGTTTACTATCTCATTACTACTTTCTTCGTTTTGGTGATAACTTTCGTGTTGGTTTGAAGAGAAGCCGAGCAGGAAATAATGAGGTAAAATAACTTTAAATCCATAGTTTTTCTGTTCGCAAACGATTAATTTTCCTTTTTCAATTTTGGAAATCGATTTTTTAACCGGTATAGACATTCGATGAGTGTGTTTCGAGAAATGGTCATGACTGTGATGTGAAACAGATGTGGCTTCAGATCCCGTACTTCTGTGGACATCATCATTTTTGCACGTAAGTATGGTATTATTTACTTACTTGGATACTTGGACAGCCCATCGTCACTGGTTGTGCGAGCCACAACATAATTTCCATTGTTCCGGAGTCTTAATGCTCTAGCCATTATGGTTCTCTGGAGTCCTCAGATCAGCGAGGCCGAAGTCTGCCTCAGGTTGTCAACACCACATGCAGTCGTCGTCCTTGTGGATCAGGAGGAGATTTGCCACCATACGACTAATTCAATACTAGGATGATGGTGGACCCTGGTATTGGTTTGCTCCTAGCTGAGTTTCCTGATGGAAACGGCGGACTTCTGAACTTGGAAGACGCTGATAAGAGGACGGATCCCCCCTCGTACATCGCAGCCCGACACCGAGGGACACCTCCCAACCACGGTAAACCGTTAGGAGGAAGTATGGTATTATGTAATCATTTCGTAGAAAATCTTTAATGTTTTTTCTATAAATATATGTGAAGTTCCTTAAGCAGTAGGGCAGGAGTTTGTGTACTGTTAGATGATTCTTTTTTCATCTCATTGTTTCCCTTCTACATCCATATTGTTTGCTTTTCAGAGTTGCTGGCAGTAAAGCTGCATTAGATCAAGCAAAAAAGAATCTTATTGATAAGTATTTGATAGTTGGTATCAGTGAGCAGATAAGGGATTTTATTGCTCTCTTAGACCGCCTTGTGCCACGTTTCTTTAAAGGTGCACTCATGCACTTCGATAACCTTAGTGGTAAGTTCTTTTGTTCAAGTTGAGCCTTTTAGAATTTTACGAAATGGAAAACCAGGAGAATTGTTCTTTGGTTTAGTACAATAGGTTTTATAGATTTTTCTCCCTTTATTGTTCTATATTTCAAGAGAGCCGTGCTCATTTGCGTAACACAAAGCAGAAGTATCCTCCCAACGACCATACTTTATCCATGATACGAAGAACCGAGGTGTACCAGTTAGAGAAGGAGTTTTATGAGTTTGCAAAAGAAGAGTTCAAAGCGATTTTCAAGTAAGTTCTGTATACTTGAGTTTACCACAAAGTCATTGTTAATAGTTGCAATGCTCAAGAAAGGCTACAAATGGGACCAACAACGCTCTCGATGTTCTTCGCTTAAGACTCCAGTTCCATTACGAGAAAGTCAAACCGGAGCGACCGATGTTTGATTTGAAACGGTCATAGATGATCACTCCTTGTATAATTAGGCAAATTTCCGATATGTTTCTATATAAACTTGCTGTAAATTGACATATTCGCTACCAGCTGAGTTGAATTTTGTGAAGCGCTTTTCAGTGAGTTATGTTACCCTACAATGGAGCTGATAGCGCTGTGGTAGTCATGCCATTCACCACGAACACAGTGTTGGATCCGCCCCAGACTCACCAAGTTCCTTATTTCCCCGGGGTAGGGAAGTTAGTACCAGACTTGTCTGAGGATTGTTCACTCTCTGTAATCAAAGTGGGACGGTTTTTGCTTGGTTATCCTAGGACTCCAGGGAGGACCGATTCGGCCAACATCCAACGAGATTCATAATGAAGATGCCAATCCTCGAGTAACAACCGAATCCATGCATGAAAAGTCCGAAAAACTTCGTGGATAACGGATGCGAAGAAATCGAATGCAGAAATTGCTACAATCTGTGCGGACCGGTCATGTGAGAAAATTTCTGCTCTTAAAGGCCTTTATTACTGCACTCTCTGCACTCTATTGATGGCACCTACAATGCAGATGCTTTGTCAGTCATGCCTCTTGAATATCTATTCTCTTCACTTGGTACTCTGCAGAAGATTCAACACTTGGGAACGATTTTTTCACATTCTAAACATTCTAAAGTCATAAGCCATTGAGAGGACGTCTTCATGGTGACTTGGTGTTCAAATAACGTTCGTTCATCTAGGCACTTCAGCACATTTTCGCTTTAGAAACCGTTATCAGGTTTTGTTACCTTTTATGTGACATATATTTTACAACCAATATTTTAAACTGCATGTGATTATATATATGCATATATATATATATGTACATGCTCATATAAATACATGTACACGTAAGTATATCCACACGTATATACATATATATGTATGTGTATATATATATATATATATATATATATATATATATATATATATATATATACCACATATACCTTAAAAGTCCCAACTACTAAACATGACGATAACAATGATTAGCAGCTTCCAATTCTTGCTACAGCCAACATCATTGATGGTTATTCAGAGATTATTCGTATGTCCCCGAAAGCAGCTACAATCGTCATATATAACTTTTAATCCTATCCTGCATTCAAGCAATAGTCGTCACATAATACTTGAAATTCTTGCTTACAATGAATAATCTTTGCATAGAAGATCGTAATAATGATGTTCCCATCGTTTCCTGTCTATTAAAAGATTCCAAACAATGATGTTTCCTACAATTGTTGCATCTGTGTGCTAACTTTCTAACATGTTCAGCAGCGCATTTTCCATGGTGCTGCTGTGCTATAGTCTGGAAGCATCTCACTTATCATCTCCATTTTTTCGAACCCTTGTGCCAATTCCTTCAATGGAACGAGGAGTCGACGGTGTGCAAGCACTACCTAATGCAATATAACGGTAGTAAGCGTCCATATTAAGTGTAAGAAGAGCCGTTATCTAAATCTTAGATAAGGAAAGGTATGTTTAAGCTATGAAGAGAACAAGATGTACGTATTTTTTAGTCTTCCCAGCAAAGGCATAATAGGTCGTCAACTGATCACTCGTGTCCGCAAACAACTTCTGTTTGTAGTTATGAATTGCTCGTGGTTTTGATGATATAGGGAGATGGTAACGTCGTAAACTGTTGGCAGCTTAATAATTCCCTTCTTGTTGTTTTCCTTATCATCACTGCCATGCTGCTTCTATACTGTTTTACTACCTACTGTCCAATATTCAGCTTCCAGTGAGTGACTTGTTTGGAAAATCGCTTTGTGTTTTCCCTGTAACTGCCATTAATACGCGTCCTTCTGTACAGCTTGGTGTACAGATGCCTTTCTAGTAAAATTAGACATGAACTTCAACATTGCATAGGGATCGCTGCCAGAGTATACCAAAATTTTGTCGGTGCAACTACCTCTCGTGCACATTTTGAATAATTTGCTTTCGCATTTGTAACTCCGATGCAGAAATCACAGGAATCACTGGCAGAAGACAACTCTACCTCTAAATGGCACAATGTCACTTTCCAGGCTTGTATGCTGTGCTACAGTTTTTGTTGATAAGGCCGGTTAACAGCCTAATCTTGTGCAGTCTGCTTTCTCTGTCAAATGCATCGCTGTTACTAAACGGGAGATTTTTCAACTTTCTGGAAGAAAAACAACGGAGAGAAAAGGAGGTGAATCTGAGAGAGGTTGAATTCACTCAATAGGTCCACCTTCTCTCTCCTATCCTCCTTCTTCAGGTTCTTCGACAAAAAATATGAGAAACTTCACGAGAAGTCGATTGAAGACGAAGTTGAAGTTGGTATAGGGATGGTTAAAAAAGTATATGAGAGTCGAAGGAAGAAACCCATGGAAGAAGTATAGAATAACGATTATTGAGGCTGCCAATTTTTGAACCCGTTGATCAGTCGTTACTTCGAATTTATCCGAGCTCGAAGGCACTCATACCTGTCAACAACCATATCTCAACTCATAGTGAACTTTACCGGCTTAAAGAAGGCCTTTCTGAATCTAGAGATCTTTACTAACAATTTGATCACTTTTTCTTCTATCATGATAGGAAGAATTGTACTATTTCTGGAGATTTGAATTCTAAATAAGCCTAGAATGATGACTATGCCTTAGAAAGCTTACTAATACTTTTTTAGGATAATTCAAAGTTTCTTCTGTGCATTTGTTATGTTACCATCTTATTAAATCTTCCAGTTACTCAAAAATATTATTAATTATTAGAAAACTGTCATCATCTGTTATGTTAGGCATACAAGGTTCAATTTTTGACCAGTAGTTGACAGCTGACAGCAGTGGGTTTGGAGGTGAACGACAATAAAATGTAGCGTATATTAGCAACATTATGCATTTATATGTATGGAGAAAAGGCTCATCTATAACTCTGTGGTGTTCTGATTCCCAGAAGTCTTCTAGTTATCGAAAATTTATCGTTTACTATCAAGAAAAGCACGACTATTGTATTTTAATCGGTGGGGAGCTTTCCAGCTTTTCCAAACTGCGTGAAATTAATGGTGGTCGGGAATGCGTTAAGCTTATTGTGACAATCTCCATGTTTCACGTATTTAGCCTTTGTTTTTTTAAATATTCATGGTCGATGTTGTTTCCGCGGTATTTTATTATTTTCACAGTTGCTCAGATTATTCATAACTGGTAGTAAGCGACTGTATTGTTTTAATTCGATCAATGCAAATCAGTAAAACTTATATTGCTGTGTACTTTCGTTCTGTCTTGGTATATATGAAAAATATTGGTTGATTTTTCGTCTTTGAGCCACTATTTGTAAAGTTACGTCTTTATTGAGATCTATCTAACTCATACATTTGATATATTTGTTTTGTTGAAGGAATATAAATTATACAAGATTCTACGTTTTTAAAAGGCAGCATCAACAAGTGGCAGTGACAGAGACTGAAAAGTGAGGCATAAGAAGCAGTCATTGAATGGAGGATTCCAAGTTTTAACCAAGAAGTGAAAAACAAATGTCACGACCATGAACTGAACTGACAAATCAGTGTTTTCTTCTATACTCCTTGCAACAGATTTCTGTACATCTTTGACGAGAGAAGAAGTTATTGAGGGTGCCGTCACATCCTCCATACTTATACTCATCGCAAGAATCAGAAGTTGGGTTATATCCATACCGGATCTCAAAATCGGTGCACGGTCCTGGATCGAGCGGTGCCGTGCAGAAGATCACCGGATCCTGTGAAAGGCCATGTTTAATCTCAAAACATGATGTGTTTCTATTATAATAGGAAGAAGGTCATTTTTTACCTGGCAACAAACGGATACATTGAACTCATTACTCATGTGACATATGAAGCCATCTGGACATACTCGGTCTATTCCACATGCAGTTACATGATTTCCTTCGACAAGTGGAATGCCATGAGGACAGTAATTGCGATATACTAAACGTTAGTATTCTAAGTAGAGAATGAGAGTAAAGTTCCAATTAACTTACCTGGGCAGGCTTCGTTACATGTGGTTTGGCTTATAAAATTATTCTCATTACCTCCTATTCCACCGTAGATGAATAGCGCACATCTGTAATGTGGTCTGCTAATCTAAAGAAATACAAATAAATGTGAGAGACGTTGCCTGTTTTGTTTCTTATCGTAGAACCATCGAGGAAGTTCTTCTCCACCCATCCCTAGATTAACTGGCTGATCACATGGCTCTATACCTATAAATTCATTTCCATTCTGATTATTCCAAGTAGACTTCTGAGTTTCCTTTGTAGAATATCATTTATACGATTTGTTCGTTCATTTTAACTACCTTTAACCATTTGTTCTCGGTTTTACACATTTCAACAAGTTTCTTTTTATTGCCAGATAGTGTTTGTAGTTTTTAATGAGTTTCTACAATTTCGGTGCTTTTAAAGGAAAATAGTTTAGAAATGATAATGATTTTTAAGATAATGAAAATGGTGGGGAGTCTATAGAAGCAAGTTGACTTAGAAAGTGGGGTGTTAGAAAGGTATTGGTTACCTTTTTTTGGACAGCACAGCGTTGTGAGAGGGTTGGCGCCAACATGACAGTAGTATCCACGAGGACAACTGTCTACTTTTTGTCCTCCAGTACAAAGTACTGGATCGGGATCGGCTCCAATCAGTGGTTCTCCGGTGCCACACGGGTTCAATTCTTAAAATATAGTTGGGTAATGATTAAGTTGTCCATGGATAGTTTGTCTGTTTTTAATATATGACCTTGACATATGCTATTTAGATATCGCATCTAGAAGTTTTTTGAGATGCTCACTGCCGAGTTAAGTTAACAAACTAACTTTGCCTAGACTTTTTTTTTAAAGCAACTAGAGTGTAAGTGTGTAAATAAGTAAGCATAGAATATGTTTTTATGGTCCACATTATGGATTCAAGGACTAGATTCATCATACTATACAGAGCTAAGATTTCACTATATGGGAAGTTTTTGCTTCCCATATGCAACCCTGTTTGTTTAATTTTATAAGAATTTCTGTCTCTACTTCCAGCAATTTATTTCGGCAACACATTAGTGAATAACTTTTGGGTTACGGCTAAATAGGACGGTTAGGGTAATAGCTTGGATGGTGAAATATTTTTGGAATTCCAACCACTGTATATTGATATGTCCAAGTTGGCAGGATCACTAAGCAGAGATGTTTTACAATTTTGTCACTGTTGCATTTGCTCTGTTCCTATGCATATTCTGTCAGCTCTTCGGTACATATTTCTCACATGGGCATTTTTTCTGTGTGAAATGTGAGAGGAAAGGTAGTGAACACGTGTATTTTTGTTACTTTGCTTTCGGTACCATTTCATAATGCAGCCGTTTTCGAATAGGTTAATTCGCACGTTCAAAAATGGAGACCGGCTTTCCTTCGATTTCTCTTGGGTCGTTGTGTATCCTGACCGCATTGTCATCTGTTCAATGTAGTAGGATGTGGATAAATGTTTTGAATAGCTAAACCAATAGTCTGTAGCTAAATTCTACCAAAGAGAAACCGAATAATGATTGACCCAAAGAAGGCTACATCATCAAATCGTACTGGAGCCAAAGTAACAAAAATAATTTGGTTCACTGCCTCTTCTCACATCTTTCGCACACAAAAAGTGCGCTCACGAAGAACATGTTTCAAACAGGCGGTAGTGTGTGCACAAGAACAGAGCAGAAGGAGGAATCGCTGGGACTTGGCGTAAAAAAATAGTCATTTCTAATGGCTACAAGGCGGTAGCTGCTCGAAATAGATTTAGAAGAGAAATCACGTTACGAAACGATAAGTTTGGTGAAAATAAGTTCCCGCATCCCCTTATTTTCCGATGAAATGATCGTAACCATAAAGCATTGCTTAAAAAGGGCTGATATATAGAAACGTAGCAATGATTGAAATACCACTGAGCACTTCTTGTAGTTTGTTACTGTTTGTATGAATGTATATGCTAAAAGAACAATTGCATAATTTCCGTGGCGCGTGTGGCGCAGTGGTAGGAGGCGCCACCGCGATACACGTGGAATCGTTCCCGGGCCCAAGGTCCACTAAGCTTTCCATTCCTCCGGGGTCGGAAAATTGGTACCAGACTTGTCTGAGAGGATAGCAGCACTAGCTCGATACATTGGTAGGCCACCGCTAGTCATTGTAAAGACCAGGTGTGCATTCAATCACTTCTAACGATACTTAGTGAAGTCGAATGCATGGCGCATCCCTCAGGCATTAATCGGCGCCGAGAGCTTTATCCGTTTATCTTTTATGGTAAAGAAGGTAATTGCATGAGTTCGTGTACAGATTACCTAATCTCTTGTAAAGCACGTGCGGTGGAATCACTTGTATCACCTGTAGTCCCGTTGATCGTCGAGTGAGTCGAGCGGGCGCCAGTAAATCTTCCATTTTTTCCCTGCCGCGTACAAGAGTAGACCAGTGGGTTCTGCTCACTCTAGGGTCTCGTTGAGCACCATATCTTTCTTCAAGGCTCTTTGTGAAGAACTCTGACCATCCGGTCGGTGGTGTTCCTGCAGTACGTTTGACATCCCGAGGAATCCAGTCACTAACGACTCATGTCCATCGGTTGTCATTCATACGCATTACGTGACCGGTCCACCTTATCTTCGACTGTTTGGTGTGCAGAACGTCATCTTTGATTTTTATCGTTGACGCAGATCGGAGTTTCGGATCCCATTCCTTACTTGTGTGGAACGGGATACTCCTAGCATCGTCCTTTCGACTGCGCGTTTGATAACGCTGAGTGACCTTTCATCCGGCTTATGCAGCGACCAGTTTTCTGACACACACGTTAGGGCAGGAAGTGCCGTTGAGTCGAAAAGGTGGACACCGAATCGGGGTTCTTTGTTTTCTTCACTACATCCTCGATGCTCTTATAAGCTCCACAAGCGGCTCGTTTCCTTCTGCCCACCTTTGGAGCTAGGTCGTTCATCATATTGATTTGTCGCTCTAGATAGATATAGCTGAAGCATTCTGAGACATTCATTCCGGTGAGCGTCAATGGGGCATGCGAAACCAATCTGTTCTTCATGAACATCGTTTTTGTGAGATTTTGTCGAAGACCAATCTTTCCACAGGCTTTATCAAAGTCGTCAAGCATACGTTCCGCTTGGCTAATGTTTGGTGTTATAAGCACGATGTCATCGTCAAAGCGAAGATGGTGTAACTGCCGACCATCGATTTTCACTCCCATATTATCCCATTCCAATGTTCGCAAAACGTTCTAGAGTGTCGGGGTAAATAATTTTGGCGAGATGGTATCGCCTTGCCTAACTCCTCTTTTGACGTCGATGTTAATATCGTTGTAGAATGGTGATATTTTCATTGTGAAATTTTTGTACATCTCACGAAGAATCTTTATGTACTGAGTAGGGACTATTTGACTATTAAGGCTTCCCTGACTGCCTCTATCTCAATTGAGTCAAAGGCCTTCCGTAAATCGATTAAAGTGAGACAGAGCGGTCTTCTGTACTCTCCCGATACCTTATTAACTGTTGTTATCATGTGGATGTGGTCTATCGTACTAAATCCTTTTCGAAACTCCGCTTGCTCAAACGGCTATCCTTCGTCCAGTGTTCTGTCAATCCTGTTTGGGATGACTCGAGTGAAAAGTTTATAGACGGCAGGCAGCAAGCAGATTGGGCGATAGTTGAATATATCGTGTCACCTTACTTGAACAATAACACGGTATTGCTGGTCTTCCACTGAGTAGGGATCATTTATTCAGACAGGTAACGTGTGTAGAGCCGAGCCATGTGTTTATGAGGACTGGCGGAAGGTTTTTAGGTGTTCTGGTCTTATGCTGTCCACACCTGGTGCTGTTCGATTTTTCACCGACGAAATGGCACGTCGGATTTCGGAAAGGAGAAAAGGTGGTAGAACATATCCATCCTCCTTTATTTCATATCACGGATGATGAACGTGGCTATCGAAGGGATCTGAGTAGTATTCATGAGTGATTATCTCCATTGCCGTTCTGGGCGCTGTAACTTTTCCGTCTGGGCGTCGGAGTGCATTCATCTTGGTCTTGTAATTGGTGAAGCTTCGGTGGGCTTTGCGAATTCATTTCCCAGCCTCTGCAGCTTCAACCGTTACTGCTGCTCTTCTCCCTTTAAGATCTTCTTTTGTCGCCTCTTTGCATTATTTTGCAAGTTCGAACATTCGTTCGCGATTGCCTACAGCTTGTGCGATTCCACGCTGGGGTATCAGCTGGAGTGTTTCTGGAGACAGATGTCTTTTGGTCACTTTCGAACTCTCAGCTTTCATAGCGCTAACGTGGAGATTTTGAATGAGCTAATCGTATTCTTCGTCGATGTTATCGACAACGGCATCTTCTCAATAGCCGACTTATGATTTGAATAAGTCCCAGTTTGCAGTGGTTGTGGGACTTCAGTTTTGGAATTTAGCGGCTTTTTCTCTTTTCCGCGAGAAATATAATCTTGTACGAAGGAGACGATGGTCTGATCGTGTGTAGAATTTTGGCGCAACAGCGAAATCGGTTAGGCAAAACCTATTTACTATGATGTGGTTTATTTCTTTATGGTACTCTCCACTGGGAGAGTTCCACGTCCAGCGCTGAGGATGGGGCTTCTAGAATTACGAGTTACCATTGATGGTCTTGGTAGTCATGATAAACTCAGACAGACGCTTACTCTGTTCGATTTTAATCCGTGGGTCTCAATGTGACGTTCTTCAGACGTTTTTCTTGGTCCAATTTTGGCGTTGAAATCTCCAATGATGACCTTGAAGAATGTGTGGTTTTCTCTGTAGAACTTCCCCAAGTCCATGTAAAACGCTTCGACTTCTTCTTCGTCATAGTTTGATGTCGGCGCGTGAACGACAAAGATTGTCAGTGAATAGATACTGTAATGACAAACTTATCTTTGCTAGTCAAGAAAGCACTGGATTTTTGATCAGCGTTGAAGTTACAAGAAATTCAGTACTGAGATTTGTTTGCGATTCTAATCCACTGGTCGTGAAACTGTCCTTTGCTTCTTGAAGAATGTCAGCTGTTCGTGATTTTCTTGAGCGTGTTCTTAAGGAGAAATACTGGGATGGTAATGATATAATGATTATTGAGAAATATATTTGGAGAAATTTGATAGATTTCATGGTCTGTATGGCAAGGAAGCGATTTCATGTGGCGTTTCGTCAGCAAAGTGAGCAACGTTCCCTGTCTGAGTAAATAGGCTTTCTTGCCTTTTCAATTTAAGTATGCTTTCCATTATCCGTATTGTTTTGTATCAATAGAACTATTGGTTATACCACTTAGTTTTCTTTCATTTTTTCTTCTGACTCTACCTCTACATGCTTGTCGACATGCTTCTTTTGTCAGGAAGTTGTTAGAATTGCCTTTCGTTCCCTTGTAGATAAATTTTCGGCACATCTGAATGATCCTGTCTTGGCTATGCAACACTGATAATTACTTTTAGATCACTAACCTGTATGCTTCCGTCAAAAAACCACCTTTCGAGCTGTTCTGATCCTTGACCGATCTCTTGAGGTAAATCACATGGACGACGAACTGAACCCGTTAAGTAAGCTGCCACTCGTTAGTTCAATTAGACAAACTCACTTCCTGGGCAACAATTAGTAGTTTCTGGACTTCCTCCCACATGACACCAGTATCCATTGATACAGGAATCCTCTCCACCACAAATGATAGGTTCATTGCGAGAGTTCAAAAGAGGTTCACCAATGCGACAAGGATTGGGAGTAACTAGAAAATATGAAGAGTATGAATTTGTTTTCATAAACCTATAAATAGTTCGCAAGTTGGGAAGTTAGACAGTTTAAAAGCCTTCTACGATGATCATAAGAGCTCACCAGGACACATTTGCTCACAATCCTCTATACTAAGAAAGTTATTAGCGTTTCCTTTGGAACCCTTGTAGGCGAACTCACGACACCTACGGGATTCCTCGTCGTAGTAATACCTGTAATTCTGTCTCTTAAATCAAGTTGTTATATTTTTCTTATTATTTCTTTGACGCTTTTGGCAATAACATTTAGAGAGGATTTGTTCAACTTTTAGCATCTGTCAGGCCCTCCGGAAAGCCGACATATTGCTGTAGAAGTATACAAGAATTTTAACATCAAAAGTATTTTCGCCATTTTTAAAAATGTTAACCAAGGAAATGTGGAAATCTTTTAACATAGTCAGTGTTCGAAATGACATGGGTTTTTTGGTGATTTAATTTCTGGTTTGCACGTCCTTATCAAAGGACCAATTCCAACATTTAAATAACTCATGAGAAAGCTGCAGTTTGAATCTCGTTTAACTTTGTAGAAATCGGAATACATATGAATTAGATGCATAAATTTCCACCTGGTAAGTGAAGCTTCTCCCTTACCGATGGCGAGCACTTGAGAGCATGGATCACCGTCTGTAAGGAGGATGAGATAAACGTTGCAAACTATTTCAATATGCAGCTTAGATCTCACTTTTCGGACAACAGTAGTTCTCTTCACCGTCCACGCCAATGTGGCAGAAGTGCGTTGAAGGACAGCGTTGAGAAGGACTACATACTTTTGGCATACCCATAATGAGTAATGGTTTCCCACTTCCGCACGGATTTTGAAAAACTGGGCATATCGTGTGGCAATCTTCTTGTGTAAGAAACATGTTCTAAATGCAAATACCATTTCTTTTACATGATGACTGCTGAACAAGTAAGCGTCGAGCTTATGCCGGAATTGAGTAGTTGATATCCTGTTTAGTTGTGACCAATAATTTTAAAAATCGATTCTTTTTGGGCTTCAGCATGATATTCTACTATGTCAAACGGCGGTCACCTAACACTGGCTATCCATCTATTGATTGTTTTACTGATGGCACTACCTTCAGATAAAAAGAAGTGAAGAAAATTTCGTAGGCTTCATGTGTTTTATGAGTCTAGAAGCCATTCAAATTTTATTCGTATCATAAGAAAATCTTCACGTGTTGCCTAAGCACAGTGAACAGCAGCCAACGCTAGAATCTATTCGCTCGATTACGATCAGATAGTTTTAAAAATGAGGATATCCTGTTTGGTGATCATCATGCTCATAGAATGATGTCATGTGTAGTAAACCGGAAACTAAGTAGTCAGCAAATTTTGGCTACCATCCGTATCATCACCATCGAGAGCTATCGGCATAAAATTGACCAACTCAAGATGCGTGAAATTACGATTGTCCATCAACTGAATCTAGATGAACTGCCTCAGCAGTATTTTGCGACTAATGATGTTGAAAGTGAATCTAATTCTCACGCGAGTTGATTACAAAGGCGAATATGGATCCTTTAAGGTAGTGACCAGGTATACCATCAGAAGTTGAGGCCAATTTAAAGGTTAGTTTTCGCAACAGGATGAAGATTGAAGTCAATTAAGTAGGTATCGTAACTGAAAAGTGTTGGAAATCATAATTTGCTAAACGGAGTAACATCATGATGTCGGTTTGATGAGCAATGCGCCACGAATTCAACTTCATTAAGCATCGTTAAGAGTGATCGAATGCATATCTGGTTCATAAAATGTCCTGCGATGGTCTACTAGTGTACCATATCGGCCTTGTTATTTTCTTAAACAAGTCTGGTATCAAGTTGTCGACCCCGGAGGGATGAAAGGCTTGGTGAATCCAGTGCGCGGCATCAAACCAGTGGCTGATATTGCAATGCACCACTAACCACTATGTTACACGCGCCTTTTCAATATTTTGAAAAAAGCATTTTAATATCCCAGTTATTCTCGTTGAAGTTTTGTCTTAGCTTTATCAGATTGCACATACCTGATTACCTCCTTCACCACTGTAGATGAACTTCACGCATTTTTTCTGATTATTGTCAAAATGCCAGCGTGTAAGAAATGAATTGCCATGACCTTTCATCATCGGCAGCTCGCAAGTGTTCAAAACTAAGATTATTATTGATGAGTTTCTGTGTTGGAGAAGGAACAACTATGTTAATTACCTGTTGAGCAGCAAACTGTCGTTTCCGCAGTAATGCCAACATGGCACCAATGAGTCTGCGGACACGGTGACGTAGGACTACAGAAACGCGGTTCATTTGTCGGCGTCATCAACATCGTTCCAGTACCGCATGGTGACTTGCACTTGCCTAAAACTCTATCCATTAGTATTTCTGCCATGTTACAAGTACCAAAAAAGACGTACGTTGACATTTCTTTTCACAAGCAGTTTTTGTGAGGAAATTATTTTGATTGCCTTTGGCTCCCTTGTACATGAATGGTTTGCACTGACGTGAACATGACTTTTCGTTTGGATCAGCGTACCAACGAGGTAGTTCGAAATCGCCTTCACCAGTCTTCAATGGAAGAGAGCATGGTTCCGTCACCCCTAAATCATTTGAAAAGTTTTTCTTTGGGGTTCCACAAATATTCTATCAATAATGAGCTACCATTTTCAACCGCATACAGATATGTATGTGATATTTCCTATGCTTCTCGTCTGTGTTCAGGTTCATGAAGTCCACAAAATTTCCAATGAAAGCTGCGCAGCACAATCAGCTATGAAGTTGTGAAAATGCCGCACAACTTTCACGAGCTGCATGTTTTGATAAAGAGCAGTCGTGACAACTGTTAATTAAGTGATATCTGCACCTCCAGGGCAACAAACAGTAGTTGCTTGTGATGGCCCAATGTGACACCATTGGTCTTCGCTGCATTCAGTTCCTAACAGCGAACATTCCTTCTTCAACAGATTGTTCATTTCAGTAGGGCATGGATTATTCCATCCTAAAGAACGTAAATTGTGAATTTTTTAAAGTGTAACAAGTGCCAGTCCTGCTTAATAGTTCACTGCTTCATCTTTCTATGGGATGCTCCTAACAACCGATCCATAAGCGCATTATGTGATTCATGTACGCAGAAGATTTTACTCACATTAACAAGCTTGTTGTTTCGATGTGGAAGTCCTGAAAGAAGTAGAACTAACCCTGTGCCTTCGCCTTAGCAGCAGCCTCGTCACAAAGTGGAAACATCCTTCTAATACGCAGGTACCATGGATTATGCCCAAAATAGGAGGGTCCTAGTACGCGTATCTTAGGATTTAAAGAATGAATACTGGCAGGACATACGGGCAACATAACCTTGCCTGAATACGTAGAAGGTGGTAGATATCAGCCCAATTGTAGGTTGCCTAAATCGAGAAGGACTCTGGCAACAATTTGTACTTAAAGTACACATATAATAGTATCATCAATCGAGAGGCCATCTTACTGGTTGATAGAGGAATGTACCGTTTATTAAAGGTCGTTTATTATATCGGAGAAAAACTATTTCTCAGAACATGCGGTACTACTGGACTCTGCAGCATAGGTGTTCTCATTAACGAGAGCTTTTCCGCGAACATCATTTCCTTCGAAAGACGAACAACATCAGTCGGAAACAAACTTCAAAATATGCGGTATTGACAGCTGCCGTCGTCCTTAATTGACGAAGAATAGAACGAAGCATTCTATTATTAGATGCTTGAGATTAAGATACATGGATTACAATCGGTTCGAATTTCTTAATCGTCTTTAACACCAAGCTGTCACAAAGGCGAGGTCCTCTACATAAAACCTCTATATCATATTGGAAGAGAATGACACGTTGTTTCGGTGATTGGTTCTTCCGAGGTCCATCATGCTATTTTGTCAGTGACCATCTTGTGTGCAGCACAAGGTTCAACCAACATTCAAGCTGAATATCCAAAAGAAGGCTGCCAGTTTTCTTCAACACACTAGATTGTGTTTTGCACATTATGTGCCAGAACCAAAAGGGTTTTTGGTTGAAAACAGAGAGGATCTTTTAGTTGCAAAGAAAGGAAACCATACACTGAACAGGCTATCTCCCAACATTTCTGCTTACTATTGTCTGATAATTTGTATACCTTTCACTAGGATTAACAAAACATTCGACAAAGGGCATTCAAGCCGTGGTGAATCTATAAAACTCATTTAAGAATATCAAAAAATAACTTGTGTGGCCGTGGAAGCTCAGCACCATAAGAGCATCTCTACTCGGTACAAGAAGATTATCCATGTGCTATACAGAACGCAGTGTTTTGTTGCCCTATAGTTATACCATATTCGTATCATTGATAATATCAACCATATGATAGGAAACATCCGGTACTTATGCCTTTCGATTTGACAGTGGAAATATCGGTCTACTTCTTAAAAAGGTGTTCAAGAGACGTGGATTTACTTTTGATGGACCATTCACAGCAAAACGGGTCGAATATCTTTGAGAGCCCATGTGTGCGTATCTGAATCACGAAGTGTACATGATGAACGGCCTAACTGCAAAGTTATGGCGGAGGAAACGAGCAGAGTGAAGAACTTGTAAGGACATGAAGGATTAATGCAAAAAACAACTAGCGAACTGTTCTATTCTCATTATTGAACTCTAGTGTCTATTCTACTAATGAAAGCAACGAAGACATATACATTTCATAAGCAGAATGAAGGACCACTAATGTTGTCAAACGCGATATCGAAGAGTATCGTAACTGCATTACGAAAGTGAACTTTTCAATAGATTCTGTCCAAACAGAAAGCACTGTTGAAGAACGAGCAACGCTACATCATCTCGACTAAGTTATTTACGACCCAATTTCATTGTGCAATGGTCTCACTCGATTGCATGGTAAAGAGTATACGCATTGGTCGCAAATCCATCTTGAACTTTCGTTTTTTTTTGACGACATCTTAATTCGTAGACGGGCGCCAGTGAGGAAAGACGACGGTCAAAGTTCTCAACGAATCTTGGAAAATAACTGGACCTCAACTAGATCGGGAAAAACTGCAGCTCATAGCATGGGGAAACCAGTCACTAATGGACGGACACAAAACTCCGCGCTCACGCTTTTAGTCGACAGCTCTATCAAAATTCTATTGTAGAGATACGAAGCGACACCGCAGTCATTTCAGGAACTTCACACATCATCCACCAAGCGCTTCAACAGTGTTTTCAGAGATATAGTTGGCACACGCAACATTAAGCTGGACTACATAGTCTAGATATTCGAAGAACACCTCATCTTCGAACGAGAGAACGATACGAATGGAGGTTGCACCAGATCCGCTCAACTTTTGAAAACGAAGCATTGACGTCTAAGACTTTAGCCATTTGGAGCTGAAAACTTTTCGTCGGCAACCCCTGAAGAACTACGAATTTTCTGAAATTGTTCTAATGACTCACTTTGACATACATCTTCGCATTGCCGATTGGTGACGAAGTTGTTTTCGTTGCCCTTAATTCCTCGGTAGATGAACTCAGAACATCGCTTGGTGAAAGTATTATAGTAGAACCTTAAAAATATACTCTATCATGTCTGGCGAACCTGGAAAAGTTAGACCAAATTACCTTTTTAGGAGTGCTTTTCCTTCGCCGACATTTAGCGGCAAGAGGCATGGATCAGTTGCTGCAAAATCTGGTCATAATCCTAGGGTTTTTGGGGAATGAACAACCAGATAAGCCTAATTCTCTCACATCCGCTTGATTCGCAGCACACTGTGGTTTCTGGAGTTTCGCCAAGATGGCAGAAGTGGTTCTGTGGACATAGTGAGGTGTTGTTTGGACCGCACATAACAAGTGATCGGTTTTGTTGGTGTTTTGCAGGATGGCCGAATCGGCAAGGATTCTTGCCATCAACGGCTGTCGCTGAAGTGTGGTTTGAGAAGGCGCACAATAACTATGGCACGAAATGTAGCTAGTGTATAAGCAATTAACTGTTTTCGAATCTATTTTTAGCACTGAAAATTCCTCGTTAATGGTTCCCCACCTCATCAGGGATGAGAGCATTTATGGGAACCGCGGTGTAAAATAGGTCGTTCATTTCGAAGCATATTTCTCAAATGGAGAAAGAGTTGGATTTTCTCATCTGGAAACTCACCCAAGAATAGCCCTATGGCACTTTGGGAAACCGGCAGGCTAGTCGTTACTTTTTCGAAAAACGGTAAAAAGATCTCATACTATAAAGATGATCTCGTCACATTCTTAAAAAAGTTGACTACAATGAGCAAATTTGGTACGTGCCGAGTGTTAATGGAGCTAACTAGTTCCATATACTACAGTTCATATAGTGATCACGATATATGTTTGTTGAAGACATTTCCAGACTTCACTTTTTTCAGAGCTTTTAGAGCTTTTAATAAAGCATATCAGCAAAGAAAGTCATCTATCGAACAAGGTCACTTATATAGTAGGCCTTTTAAAATTATTGAAAATTTTAAGATGCTTATTCCTCCTTCGCAACAACAAACCCTAACCAGCACTAATCAAAATCTAAGTGACATTTCCCAGGGTCGACTTTCTGTTAACCTCGGCACTGGAATATGAACGCGTCGTTTTTTTGTTACGCAGCATACATTTGCTTCCATAGAAAAACAATACAATACAACAGTAGCTGACGTTTCGTTGTTTGGCAATGTTTAGCATTTATAAATGGCAAAATCCCACAATGAATAGCAGAGAGGAATGCCCAGAGGTTACACGCGACCTGACCCCGTATGTTCGCATCAATTTCTGATGTGGGGTGGGTGGCGAAGTCATCAACCATATGAGACTATAATCGGCTGTTCTATCCTTCCTCATTGGAAGTCACGTAAAAAAAGCGATGAGTGTTTCGAGAAGCTGTTGACCATGTAATTGCCATGGAGTTTTTCGTCTTTTTGTAAGTGTTATTGAAGCGTTTGGCCTAGTAGATTGTATATCAGTATACCCTTCCAGGCTCTGAAGAAGGCGATACTGCCGAAACGTCAGCTACTGTTGTATTGTGTTGTGTTTTTCTGTGGAAGTAAATGTATGCTGCATAGCAGCCTCGCGATTGCTGAACAAGAAATCTAAGTGACATTTATGTTTTCATAGGATTTTTTTCCTTCGTTTTGAATCAGCACATATCCACATAGTGAAGAGACAGACGTTGTGAACAAATCGGCTGAAGTAGGTTTCGCTTCGGAAGTTTTTTTTTGTTTAACTTCATCATATGCGCTGTCGGAGTGAACTCACAAATCTCGCACGCGTCGATGCACTGCGTTTTCGTGACGAAGTTATTCATGTTACCACGAATTCCCTTGTAAAGAAACCTGAAAGCAATTATGATTAAGAAAATACTTCTTGTAAAGCATTTTTGCTTTATTTCATTTTCTAATCCATGTGATTCTCTAAACTTTGAACATACCGCCGGCATTGCTTAACACGGTGGTCGTAGTACCAACGAGCCACCAATTCGTCGCCCTCCCCCGTTGCACGTTGCATCCCGCAGCGATCCACTAAAGTTACAATTTAAATCACTCGCATTATATTTAGCCTTCGTTTTTATTTAGCCATGTCTCTTCCAATTTTATTTAGTTTTCATATTAGCGTCACAACTGCATTCTTTTAATGTGATGTCGTATATAAGTTAAGATATGCCTTATGGGCCACAAACCCAGTCACTGGCATACAGGATGAAAAACCACTCATCCTTATAGAACGCGCAATCGGAAGGACGATGATAAGAGTATCCCGCATTCTGCAAGAGAGAGAGGATTCGTAACTCCTACCTAGGTCAACGATTGAAAATCAAAGGTGCTGTCCGTTAAACTGCAGTAGATAAGGTGGGTCGGACACGTTATGCGTATGAACGACAACCGATGTACACGAGTCGCAAGTGTCTGGATTCCTCGGGATGACTAATATACTGCAGGAAACCCACCGACCAGATGGTCAGAGTTCTTCAAAAAAAAATCCTAGAGGGAGATTTAATGCTCAACGGTGTCTCGTTCTCCTTCTAGCGAGCAGGACTCACAGCGCTGCTGTTGCATGCGACAGGGAGAAATGGTAGGTTTAGTGGCGCCCACTCGATTCATTTGACCATTAACAGGATGATGGGATGATATAGGCGACCTCGTACGGCCTCAATGGTTGCAATTCATCTATGCAACCTTCTGACTACAAGTGCCTTAGAATTCGTCAAGAGCGCCGGATGTTGTATAAATCAATGATCGCTATCATAGTCGAATTTCATCAAAGCAAAGGTGACAATTTTGCAAATATTAAAAAATGGCATATGTTTCACTCCTGATTGAACTCACAGGTATCTGTTTTCGGACAGCAAGAGGTAGTAGCAAATGAAGCACCGATGTGACACCAGTAGTCTTCAGGACAGCCGCCATTCGGTTGATTAAGATAATTGCAAGAAATCGGCATCTCAAACTCGTTCATCAGTGGTCGACCCGATAAGCAGGGGTTAAAGAATTCTAGTAAATAACCAGAGTAAGAATAGAACTCTTAGGAAAGAACAGAGTTGGCTTTACTTTTCTTGGTTTGCTTCCGTTCGGAAGACAAAAACATTGTAGTGAACGGAATTTTGGTAGTTGATTCGGATAATGTAGGTGGTTTCGTTGAATTTGTCAAAATCTCAGGAGGAGGCGTCGGAAGTGTGGTGACATGAAACAACATAAGTCATGTTGGCGTTTCCAAGTATTAAGTATTTCAAATCATTGTCAAAAGCGTAACAATTAGGTGATGGAAAAAACCAAACCGTTATGAAAGTGAATTTTATTGGGTAGGTCGTTCTTATCGGCATTGGTGGAATAACCATCGGCAGTTTTCGAAAGATGTTAGGTACATCAACTTGAGATGGTAGTGCTCCTTGAATGTCTTGCTAATGAGATTTAAGGATGAAATGCGAAGTTATCACCTTGAAATGTTACCAATAGGCCGATAATTCCACCTATATCGGTTTTGGTTGCACCACACATACTGGCAGTTTGTTCGAACTGGATACATCATAGTGCGTTGTTGTGCATATGGTTGTTGGTAGTAAAACTGCGATGAAATAATTTCGAGTAAAATTTTGTCGTTTGTATTAAGTAGAATAAAGTAAATATTTAATTCAGATCTATAATGAGCTGAACTAGGGTATCATTTGAGACACATATGAAACTGAGCAACTACAATGTCTAGTACCTGACATAATGCACCCTGTAGAAGCAGTGAAAGCGATAGGATCGTAACTGACATAAATCTGAATTTAAAACTATTCGTACGTTCATAAATACGAAAAAATTACTAGTGTAACACTAGGAAGAAATATACACTCAAGAAGAAGGTCTCAAGCGAAGCCACAAGAAAAAGTGAAAAAATCCTCTCAAAATACCATATTGAGTTCGTAGAGGTTTGATCACTATCTAGATAGTATAATATCCCAAGCATGAAGTGTAATACCCCAAGCATGACATTTAGCGAGAGCTCTCTCTATGAAAAAAGAAACAAAAGTCTAGTTAAGAATTTTCGAAATAGGAATGAAAGATGGAGATTCGACAACCAACGCCAATTTCAAGCAAGACCAGTGGATCAGTGCATTTTTGAAGGTGCACACGTCTCACGATAGTTGATGTTTCACACAGTGACCACTCATCGTACTCAGCCACCGAAATTTAGCTCGGCGCTACACAGGGTGGTGGAGTGTGTGGTGTGTGGTGGCTCACGAGTAACTCTCACTGACCGGAAATGTAAACAGTCGCCGGCCAACGAGGAAAAAGTGCGTGAGTGTAATAGGTAAACAGAGTCACTTGGTTTAGGGAGTTTGATAACGTGAATAGAAGCGATGAAGCATAATGAATCAAACCATTCCTCGGCGACTTATTTTTTAGGCTTAGGTTCGTCTTCACAGTTTTTAAGGCTTGTATAATGTTACTACAAAGAGCTCTGACCACTTAGTTGCTTGGAAATTACCAATTTGCCTCTGCTAAAGTGCTAAGCCATAATGCGCCAACCTTGAGAACACGTCGTCTTTTATGTCTCCATTCTTCTTAACTAATTTATCCACTATTAATTATTCTATAAAAAATTTCTCGGTGCTATTACTTTGCTGAGTTACATGCCCAATTTGCAGGCTGGTTTAGCGCAGTGACTAGAGCTTCCCTGCAATACACTTGTACTGCTTGGTTCGATCCCGTACCATGGGGTGACGCAATCTTCCATCTTTCCGTGGTCGGTAAATTGGCACCAAAATTGTTTGAGCAGATAGCAGCACTGGCTCGATACATTGGTAGGCCACCGCGAGTTATTGTAAAGGGCAGATATGCATTCGATCACCTCCACGATCCTTGATAAAGGCGAATGCATGGAGCATCTCTCAAGGATTGATTAACGTCGGAAGCTTCATCTGTTATCTTTCATTACTAATCTCCATAAACCGCATAATATGAATAATAGCTACCTCAGCACTCTTGAATGTGATCCATAATTGCTGGTCTGCATCTCCATGAAATTAACGGATTTCAAGAAGTGCGTATTTTTTGCTATTTATTTTTTTCTCACTTAGAAAGGCTGCGATAATTAAAAATTCAAACAAAGAACAGATAGAAGAAAGTTTGTAGCAGTTGTTGAAGACTCCGTTAATTTCACATAGCTTACATTTGTGGTAAACGTGACACGCAGACGGTACGTATTATATCAACTATTCACCTTCAAAAATGGTCGTGCTCGACTCTTAAAACTTTCCTTAATATGTTCACCAGGTACGTTACTGACATGGAAAAGTCTTTTGCCAGCACTGCAAAGTAATTCGTGCTAGAGAGCTGCCAACTCCTTAAAGACAAAGATGATCGTCGACGAAGAAAGACTTCATAACCTTGCGAACATGCTTCCTTTCTCTAATGCAGTGATTTCTGTGATTAGTCGACTTGGTAATCCTGGAGAGGGATTACTGGGAATAAGCCGTCTTTAGTTGGTATTGAGGATAAAAATGTGAATAGAGCGATAAGGGCATTTGAATTATTTTCACTAGGTTTATTTTATTATAAAGGGCGTGCATAGCATGGTGGTCGAAGGCGCCCTGCAACGCACACGTGGAATCGATCTCCCCGTGCCCATGGCCCACCATGCCTTCAATCCCTCCGGGGTCAGCCAATTGGTACCAGACTTGTCTGGACGGACAGCAGAAGTCGAATGCATGGGGAATCTCTCAGGGAATGAACAGCGTCGGGATTTTTACCCCTTATCCTTTATTTTGTCATCTTCCTGGACTATTAAGCTAACGTGATGTTGTTATAAAACACTTATTAACCCAACGTTCCGGCTTCTTTGCTTTTTCTGCACCGTATTGATTCGAGTCGATCGTTTATACTAGCTGTTCTTCACCACATGGGTTTCGCTGTCGCGTCTCGAATCCGATGGAACACCGCTCGAATGAAGTATCCTCACGCGGCGGCGACTGCCTTTGAGTGGCACTCTAGATGATTCGACTTGATTCGACAACAATTCGGCAAAGACCAGCTGTGGAGCATTAACTCAGATCAATGTTGCCCTGAAGAACGCGAAAGCGCCGACACGATAGCCGAATAAGGCCTCTATACCATCTTCCTGTTAGTTTAACAAACCAAAGGAATGTTGATTGTTTATGCTTAGGATAAATGAAATGGGCATCTAGAAATACCGGTGATTTTTATAAACTCAGACCAGCCTTTTTATGACAAAACGCTGTTATACAGTTACCAAAATACCTCACTTCATAAAATGAGCTGCATCACCTGTCACCTGTATCACCTGTAGTTCCGTTGGCGGTCGAGTGACTCGAGCGGGCGCCAGTAAAACTTCCATTTTTCGTTGTCATGTTCAAGTGTAGCCCAGTGGGTTTTGCATGCTCTAGGGACTCGTCGAGCATCATATCTTTCTTCAAGGCTCTTTATGAAGAATTCTGACCATCAGGAAAGTGGTCTACCCGCAGTACGTTTGACGTCCCGAGGAATCCAGTCACTAACGGTTCATGTCCATCGATTGTCATTCACACGCATTACGTGACCGGTCCACCTTATCTTCGACTGTTTGGCGTAGAGAACGGCATCTGTGATTTTCGATCGTTGACGCAGGTCCGAGCTTCGCATCCCTTTCCTTACTTCTGTGAGACAGAGTACTCCTAGCACTGTGCTTCCGTCTGCGCGATCAACAATGCTGAGTGATCTTTCATCTTAAGCAGTGACCACGCTTCTGACTCATACGTTAGGACAGAAAGTACCGTTGAGTCGAAAAGGTGGGCACGGAGTCGGGTGTTCTTTGCTCTCCTCACTACATCCTCGATGCTCTTGAAAGCTCCACATGCGGCTCGCTTCGTTCTGCTCAGTTGTGGAGCTAGGTCGTCGAAATCATTTTGATTTTCCGACCTAGATAGGTACAACTGGAGCATTCGGAGATATTCGTTCCGTTGAGCTTGAATGGGGCAAGCGAAGCCAATCCGCTCTTCGTGAACATCGTTTTTGTGAGATTTAGTCGAAGGCCAATCTTTCCACAGGCTTTATCAAAGTCGTCAAACATACTTCCGCTTGGCTAATATTTGGCGTTATAAGCACGATGTCATCGTCAAAGCAAAGATGGTGTAACTGCCAACCATCGATTTTCACTCCCATATTATCCCATTCCAATGTTCGTAAAAGGAGTGTCGGGGTAAATAATTTTGGCGAGATGCTTTGCCTTGCCTAACTCCTCTTTTGACGTCGATGTTAATATCGTTGTAGAATGGTGATACCTTGGTTGCGAAATTTCTGTACAGCTCACGAAGAATCTTTATGTGCTGAGTAGCGACAACTTAATTATTAAGGGCTTCCAAGACTGCTTTTATCTCAACTGAATCAAAGGCCTTCTGCAAATCGATGAATGTGAGACAGAGCGGTCTTCTGTACTCCCGCGCAATGAGCCTTGTTACCGTGTTGTTGTGGTCCATCGTACTAAAGCCTCTTCGAAACCCTGCTTGCTCTCATGGCTGTCCATCGTCTAGTGTTTTGTCAATCCTGTTTAGGATGACTCGAGTGGAAAGTTTGTAGACGACATACAGTAAGCAGATTGGGCGATAGTTGCCGATATCGCGCTGGTCACCCTTCTTGAGCCATAACACGGTCGTGCTGGTCTTCCACTGACTGGGGACCTTCATTTAGCACGGTAGCGTGTTAAGAGCCGATCCAGTGTGTTTACCAGGACTGGCGGAAGGTTCTTCAGGTGTTTTGGCCTTATCCTTCCCTGACCAGGTGCTGTTCGGTTTTTCACCGTCGAAATGGCATGTCGGTTTTTGGAAGGGAGAACCGGTGTACAATACATCCATCCTTCTTTATTTCATATAACGGAAGGTGGACGTGGCTATCGATTAGATCCGAGTAGTATTCGTGAATGATTCCCTCCATTGCCTTTCCGGACGCTGTAGCTGTTTCCTTTGGGCGACGGATGCAATCGTTTTGGTCTTGTAATTGGCGAAGCTTCGGTGGGCTTTGCGAATGCTTTTTCCAGCCTCTGCAGTTTCGATCATTACTGCTGATCTTCTCTCTCTAAGGTCTTTTTTATCGCCTCTCTGCATTATTTTGCAAGTTCGGACGTTAGTTCGCAGCTGCCTGCAGTTCCTGCGATTCCACGCTGGCGTACCAGGTCGAGTGTTTCTGGAGTCAGACGTCCATTGGTGACTTTCGAACTCTCAGCTTTCATTGCGCTACCGTGAAGATGGTGAATGAGCCGATCGTATTCTTCGTCTATGTTATCGACAACGGCATCTTACCAACAGCCGACTAGTGAATTGAATAAGTCCCAGTTTGCGGTGGTTCTGGGACTTCGGTTTTTGAATTTAGCGGCTTTTTGTCATTTCCGCGAGAAATAGAATCTTGCACGAAGGAGGCGATGGTCTGGTTCCCGTGTAGAATTTTGAGACAATAAAGACATCGCTTATGCAAAACCTTCTATTTACTATAACGTGGCCTGTTTTGTTATGGTACTCTCCATTGGCAAGCTCCCACGTCCAACGCTGACGGTGGGGCTCCTGGAATTGCGAGTTACCATGGATTGTCTTGGTCGCCACGATAAACTCAGATATCCGCTCACCCTGTTCGTTCCATTTTAATCCGTGTGTCCTAATGTGACGCTCTTCAGACGTTCTACTTGGTCTAGTCTTGGCGTTGAATTCTCCAGTGATGACCTTGAAGAATGTATGGTTTTTTCTGTAGAACTTCTACAAGTCCATATAGAACGCCTTGACTTTTTTTTTAATCGTAAACGTTCGATTCGGGTTCTTATTTGTTCGAATGAGCCGATGTTCATGGACAAACTCGTGTTGACGAAAACACCGACGCCGCCCACTCCTCCACTGTCGCATGTTCCGAGCAACAGTTCTTCTCCGGTGTCATAGACCGCATTGAAAGATTTGCGTCTTCTCGTCTCGGCCAGGCCGATGACGTCGTACTTTATCCTTCTTGCTTGAAGACTCGGATGCAAATGTACGTGCATTGTAGATGCAGATCGTCACCATAGTTCTTTGAAATCCAGGCAGCTTCAATTGGCCCTGACATTTTAGCAGCCTCTCCGTACTCGTCCTACCCAACGCTACAAAATTGGAGGCTATTTCGGGGTCACGTGAATGAAGCCCGTTTTTTTTTTACTGTGCTTAGTATTTTTGATACCCACGTATTGCTTGCTGTGCTCTGAACGTGGGGCTGGGTATACTCATATGTAGTTTGCCAGGCTCTCACAGAGTGGACATGGAGCTTATTTGTCGGAGGCGACTCCTAACCACCTCCCATATACTTCCCAGTCACTTCGTTGCAGGCTTTTGACCGAATTGCCTCCTAGAATACAATCCGTATAAGCGAGAACGCACCCACAGACGCATGAATGAGTACGCTTAGCAAATACAGAAGCTATGTGCCAAATCAGCGCCGCAGAAACTGGGAGTCCATCCCCTGGATCCACCTGCGTCTCGGAAAAGCAAAGCTCGTTTTTGGTCCGCGATTAACCCTCTATCCGCCACCTGAGGACGCGCCACGTAGTATCGCGACTAATCGGCTCGAGATCCTTCATATGAGGGAGATCCGTGGAGCTGCATGAGAAAGTTGATATTCAAAAATGAGAAAACAATTAGGAGAATGAGCGACAACCAAGTATATAACTCACAATGTCGCCAATTTTTATTCACTGCCTAATACGAAGAAAATCACTTGATCAATGCCGAGGTTAATAAAAAGTCGGTCGTGGCAGTCACTGCCTAATATTTTGTAATGGCAGGGTATTATGTAGCATATAACCATAATGTAGGTGAGATATTTGCAAAAGTTCGAATCGCTGTTGTTCGCGGTGGGGACCGATTTGGGCCCCCAGATCAATCCCACGGACCCGCGTAGTGCGGTGGTGAACGCGCTACTCCCCGGAAAGGACAATAGCGCGTTCGTTCCCCACCGCATATACTTGCGGTCCATAGTTTTGCAAATATCTGAGCACCATTGAAGTTATAAAGCAACTTTATCTCCGGTTATGGAAAGCAGCGAGATAGGGGAAACTTTGAGATTGAGTATATTTAAAAGTATTTTAAACTAACGAAGATAATATGTGATGCTTTACTTAGTTTGTAGAGCAAAGACTCTAAAGGTCGTAAAGATCTCGGCTTTGATCAGTGCCAGACGGATGCGTTGTACATTTGACTTCACTGAGTATCTTGAGAAGTGATTGAATGGTGGTCTGGGTTACATCTTTACTCTTGATGGTCTATCGATGTATCAAGTCAGTGCTGCTCTCATCCTGGATAAGACTGGTACCAATTTATCGATTCCGGAGGTTGATTAGGTCCAGGTCTATTGCAGGGCGCCCCTAACCACTGCGCTACGCGCGTACCATGCTACAACTTTAGGAGATAAACTCTTCCGATGTTTTATAACAGCCTGAAAATGCGATTTCATATGTTTCTTCTACTGATTTTTTCACCACCTCATTCCGATAAGTGTTTGCTTGTTTTCAGGACGACGTCATCTAAATCAATGTTGATCACATCGAATTGATGTGTGCATTCTCCGCCTCGCTGGCGGTCAAACAGTGCTAGCGGGTACTCTCTAGCACGTTCTCAAAACACACATGAAAATGTTGTCACTTTTTATTTACCCTCTACTCTTTTTTAATGGCAGGGTATGCGTGAAATGTTACCATAATGATGCTGAGCTATTTCCAAAACCCTTCATCGTTCATTTTTTTCTTTGTGGGAATTTTCTTGCAAAATCTACAGAATGCGAATTTAGGTGAATTAGGTGGACTTACCCTTTCCGGGGGCTACACAACCACACCATACTGGGTTTCTTCGTTTCGGTTGTCTCTCAGCTAGTTCTATCGATCAGAGCCACCAGCAATCACCCGTCAACGGAATTGATCTGGGAGCCCACATTGGCACTGAACCCAGTTAACTTGAAGCTGTAGTTGAATTGACAATGTTTACTTTTTATTTTCTGCCTTTTACAATTTTTATGGCTGGTATTAAGCGAAATACAGCCACAATATTGCTGAGATATTTGTAACATTCGGAACCTCAGGTGCCTGAGGTGGAGAACGAACGCGTTATTACCCTTTCCGGGGGCTAACTCTAGGAACTAGTTGACGGGCAGGCGAAACGAAGGACCCGCATGGTGTGTCATTGGCAAAATCAGGTAGCTGAAGATCGTAAGTCTCTACGATGGGACAATCACTGAGAAGTATTTCGTAACAAAAGGACCAACATGCGAGTCTCTAGGCAGGTAAGATACGAATTCCAACACTCGATGATGTTAACATGTAATTATGTATCCTGGAGCTAAGAATGAGTAATAGAGCTTCTGGCATTTATCGATGAACTTTGTGGATCGGGGAGAAGATTCCCCGGTTCGCTCTGGTACCGCTGTTGTTTATCATGAAAATAGGGTGCTCGGTTTGACTGGAACGAGGCCGAATCACCAAACATATTATTGCGTTATGTTAACACGAACACATTATATCTTATCTTACCAGTACTCTTCCGGCACTTCTATGGATCAAATTTATCAAGTGAATTCTACCTGGAAATCAGGGATTTAAAAAATTTCGACGTAAACCAGGAGTTCCACCGCGAACAAGTCGTTTTCACATTTGAAATGTGTTGTTTTAAATGAAAAGGTTGTATCAAACAGAAATAATTCTTTAAACATCAGACTTTATCAGTAATTTAAAAATAAAATAATTTTCTAGAAATGTGAAATGTAATAGATAACTTTACAGCGGTAGATGACTCATTTTCCTTTAAACTCGGTATGAATTGTCCTTGTATCTTCTTTCATTGATAAGTTAAGACGAGGCTTATAGGTAGGTAGGTTGTGTTGTTATGTACGTATGTTTGGCATAAGTTGTGAAGTGCGGCTGAGAGGAATGCGAAACGAAGGTTCACATGATCTTGTGTTGAAGGCTTTTGCCCTCGGAAATGGTATTAGCGTGTTCATTCCCTCCTGCAGACACCAGCGGTCTCGTGCTTTGTATTTAAATAGCTCAGCATCATTATGGTTATATTACAAGTGACAATCGATAGAACTAGCTGAGAGACAAGCGAAACGAAGGACCCACATGGTGTGGCGGTGAACGCGTTACTCCCCGCAGGACAATAGCGCGTTCGTTCTCCACCATAGACACCTGCGGTCCAGAATTTTGCAAATATCTCAGCAACGTTGTGCTTGTATTTCGTTTAGTACCCTGCCGCAGAAATATTAGTAGGCAGAAAATAAAAGGTAAAACACGTAACAATGTTCAATCACCTAGCGAGTCGAGCTGGATGGGAGTGTTGTGATGAAATACGTGGTGAATGAGCATTGTCCGAACTAGAAACCGAAAAAAAGTGATGAAAGCAGAAAACATCTATCTCTGCTTAAGAAAGACAACTGAAATAATAACACAAAATTCCTTTGTTTATTCGGGATAAAATAGAGTCTTTTTTGTCGTTATAATCAGCACGACATAAGCGGAGAAAGGCATAGAATGGACTTCGTTATATGTAGTAAGTAGCACTTGAGCACCGGTAAAGGTCATCATGCATTCGAAGACCACATGGGCTACCGAGTCTTGCTCACATCTCAGTATACTGCATTTGAATTTCATATGAGAACTTTTCAAGAATATTCTAACCGTCCGTTCAAAAGGTTGTTTTTATTGATAATTCATTATCATTGGTGTGTTTTAATCTCCGCTCTTATTATTCTGGTGATAAGTCTGGTTTGGTTCCTTACTCATTTTCAATGTGCATAAGGCCGTTGGTTATTATAAAATGTCTAAAATTTAGAACCCTCGAAGTTGATTAAGTTATCATCCTAGATGGGTGTCACATTAGATTGCAAACTGTGATCTACGTCAAGATGGTTCATAACTCTAACCAGACAACTCTACGAAAAACGGTAGAAATGAGGAAGACTCTCCTAAAAATGTGCTGCTTATTGTGTTCTTTGGGCTAGCACTTCCACCGCTTTCAACGAGTGGTATTTAAGTGTAATAGAGAACCAGGAAGACTTCGGAAACGAATTAAAACCGGGGTCCGCTCGAGTGGTGCGAAGACTTGCAGGATTATAGGTTATAAAGGTGAACATAAAGAAATCTAACTTTTCCAATGTCCAATAAAACCAATTACTTTATCGAAACTCGTCAAATAACAAGATCGTTGCGACCAAAGCGTTTGATCAGGGGTAAGCCTGAACACGTCTTTGAATAAAAAATTATACGTGAAAGCCTCAAAAAGATGCTTTCCTAGTTTGCTTTTTCAGTATGATCACATCTCTTATGCAGAACTAATAATATACATTCCTGGAACAAGTGCGAAAAAGAAAGCACGATAGTACAACAGGAGCAAAATTGGCTAACTTCCGTCTAGCATGCTGGTTAAAAATTATCTGGAATAGGTATACAGCCTTTGGTTCTGTCCGTTACAGACATGGCAGCAGACTTACCGGATACCAGCTCTCTTCATTGAAATACTCATAACGGACTGCAATTACCGAGACGTGTCATCTCTCTGATAGAGCTATTTCGTGATCTCAAGAAAGGCAACAATTAATCATTATCCAGCGAAAATTGTGAACAAAGCGAAGATCATCGGCTATCGGAAGAACACTGCCCCTGACCCCTGACATGACTAATGAATGCTATATTAGTCTTTTCCAATGATGTACATTATTACTGAGAATTCTAGAAATTTTAGACTCACAACAACCCACCAGAGTGGATTGCTGAAAATTATTCGGCTCCACATTCGTGAACGTCGTGCAAAACTTTAACCGTAGTTAGGAAATTAACACAATATACAGCATAGTTGGCTACTCGTGGACGAAGAGGCAACAGATTTCAACAGTGTATAACAACCTGGAATTATTGTGAGTAGTGAACTTTTTACTTACTGCTCATTACAATTTTTCATGGCAGGTTATCGCGTGTGAGTTAGCTGTAATGATGCTGAGATATTTGTAAATATCCGGACCGCAGGTGTTTACGGTGGGGAACGAACACGCTATTACCCTTCCTGGGGACTAACACGTTCACCACCACACCATGTGGGACCTTCGTTTCGCCTGTCTCTCAGCTAGCTCTATCGATTAGGCCATAAGCAACTGAGGCTGTGGTCTAAATCACAATGTGAACCTTTTACTTACTGCCTATTACAATTTTTCACGGCAGGTTATTATGTGACTCAACCACAATGATGCTGAGATATTAGCTTAACTGGGTTCGTTGCAGATGTGGACTCCTCAGATCAATCCCGCAATCCCGTTGACGGGTGATTGCTGATGGCCTGATCCATGAAACTAACTGAGAGAGAGTGGAGAAACAAAGGACCCGCATGGTGCAGTGGTGAACGCGTTAGCCCCGAAAAGAGTAATAGCGAGTTCGTTCCCCACCGCAAGCACATGTGGTCTGGAGTTTTGCAAATATCTCAGCATCCTTGTGAGTAGTATAAATGATATCCTGCTATGCGACTCCCTATTCAACACCAACGACTTTTTTCAATTCCAAATCTACTGTCGTTTGCGCACCTTTGGGAAGCCGAGCAGAATAGTGAAAAAAAGTACTGTGAAACTAACCATAAAGAGGGTGAAACAAGGAGTATCTTTATGAAGCAACAGGTAGCCTGGAGATCCGGCTTACGACTACTAAAGACGAGGGACGCTGCAGGAAGCATCAAGGTGTCGAAAATAAGGTAGAATTCACTTCTTGTCCATCTTAACAGCAAACGCTGACGATCAAACCATTAGTGAATACACTGCAACAACGACTGAGTATATCGTCGAGCCACTGGCTGATTTTCTTTGCGGAAATCTTCTTCGAAAAATAATTCTTTTCTTGTCCTTCAAGTGAACAGTACTTACTGGACAACTATGCACGCAACAGAGGCAAATAGAAATTTCATTGGCTCTTGCGCGAATCACTGGACTAGTAAGGAAGAAAAAAAATGATGCATGCGAATAATCTCCTATGCCTATCTATTGTTAAACGAAAATTGCACTGCAGTTCTTCTCCGGTGTCATAGACCGCATTGAAAGATTTGCGTCTTCTCGTCTCGGCCAGGCCGATGACGTCGTACTTTATCCTTCTTGCTTGAAGACTCGGATGCAAATGTACGTGCATTGTAGATGCAGATCGTCACCATAGTTCTTTGAAATCCAGGCAGCTTCAATTGGCCCTGACATTTTAGCAGCCTCTCCGTACTCGTCCTACCCAACGCTACAAAATTGGGGGCTATTTCGGGGTCACGTGAATGAAGCCCGTTTTTTTTTTACTGTGCTTAGTATTTTTGATACCCACGTATTGCTTGCTGTGCTCTGAACGTGGGGCTGGGTATACTCATATGTAGTTTGCCAGGCTCTCACAGAGTGGACATGGAGCTTATTTGTCGGAGGCGACTCCTAACCACCTCCCATATACTTCCCAGTCACTTCGTTGCAGGCTTTTGACCGAATTGCCTCCTAGAATACAATCCGTATAAGCGAGAACGCACCCACAGACGCATGAATGAGTACGCCTAGCAAATACAGAAACTATGTGCCAATTAGCACAGCAGAAACAGGGAGTCAATCCCCTGGATCCACCTGCGTCTCAGGGAAGCAAAGGTCGCTTTTGGTCCGCGATTAACCCTCTATCCGCCACCAGAGGACGGGCCACCTAGCCTCGCGACTAACCGGCTCGAGATCCCTCATATAAGGGAGATCCGTGGAAAATTCCTGAAGATATACTAATACTGGATCAGTACAAAAAAGATTAGCATGGAACACCACATATTACAATTAAACTTTGTAGTGGAGAATTAAAAAAAGGAAGACCAACTGAAACATTATTTTTAAAATGCTAGATCCTCCAAATTAGTGGAATTGGATGAAGGATCGCGATCATAACCTAAGAAGATTCACTGAGAACCATAGAAAGCTTTCCTTGATTACATTAAATGAAATCCAGCAGAACGCAACGAATCATCTTTATGGATGATATGTCAAGAAAAACGTTTCCGACACATTGCCGACTTCAAGAGCAAAATGAGAGCTTCTTGGCATCTCCGACGAAACAAACACTGCATGGAAAAGAGAAACTGATAACATTATCCACGTCTCCACTTCACCGTGAATGATGAATCAGTGAAGAAATACCGTTCCAACTGTATTGTGTCTGCAAATCCGACAACCTAAAATAACAATGCAGGGCATACTCATGACTAGATCAAATACGAGAAGATGAGGAATATATCGCCACTTTTATCACTACATTTGTTCTTCTTACATGCCAGAATGTTAAGCTTCCGGAGAATTAAAAGGCTTTATAGTGTACATCTAAGGTTGATGTCCACGAAATCGGCAAATATTGTCCATCTCGGTCACTCTTTGCTATGCATAAATGACTCATTGTTGTCTTAATAGGACAGGATGTTGAAAGAAGGACAGCCATCTTAAAGGAAGGGTTCTTAAGAGACTCAGGTACAATAGATCACATTCACGCGACGAAGAAACTTACTCAGGAACTGCGAGATCACCAAATCAACTGTCTGTCATTTAGATCATTGTAGAGCGCATATCTTACTGAGTGGGAAGGAGTCAGGGAAGCATTAAATGCAAGCATTTTTACCTCAGTAGATGAAGATATCTTTGGAGATATGTAGCGACCTCACCACCACAGCCCACTCTAACTCCAGCCAGAATTGATCTTTTACTGTTAAATGGTAGAGGTTGTCTTCGACAATTTTCTAACCGACCACACCTATCGTGAAAAATTTTTCTGCTCACAGTTTTATTAAGCTTAAAATATTGTGGTGAAATATGGTAACCATTAACCACCAAAAAGGAAGCCCGCATCGAAAATTGCCTGCCATACCTGAAAATCTTTGAGTGCAAACTCAACTTAAATATGTGCCGACGCTTTTCATGAGCATCCAACTTGAGGACTGATAACAGTCAATTACGGTCGTTTCTACCTCAATTGATAATCTGATTGAAAAAAGCTTGCACGATATTCAAATATGCAGAGCGCTAGAGGTTTCTTAGCGCCGTAATATCTAGCTGTGATTGACAAAAAGATAAAGGATAAAGCTCTCGACGTCAGTCTACCCTTAAGAGATGCGCCATGCAATCGACTTCATTAAAAATCGTTGGAGGTGATTAAATGCATATCTGGCCTTTGCAGTGACTCGCGGTGGCCTACCGATGCATCGAGTGTATCGAGCCAGTGCTGCTATCCTCCCAGACAAGCCTAGTACAATTAACCAACCTCCGATGGTATGGAGGGCTTAGGCTGCTTGCGGAGCAGGGATCGATGTTCTGTGCATTTCAGAGCGCCTTCGACCACTACGCTACACGCGCCTGCTGTCATGAATTTCGTTTGAAATTGAGTTATTAATCTTTCTCATTGTTCCAAACCAAATCACGTGTTGGAACATCCTTCCAACGTTTGCTACCAACTTTTCTGATAGCTGCTGAACATTTTGCCGTGAATTCATTACAAGAAATGTTATTATGATTTCGACGATAATGTTAGTTTTGGAATATTCACGATCTTCATTTGAAAAAATTCCAACTCCGGATTAAAACTTTTCTAAGCAACAACAAGTAGTTCGTGGAGTGGAAAATAATGCGCCGTCACGAAAGCGTTAAAGGAGGAATAGAGGCGGATTCTATGCTTTGGCGTGTTCGTAACAACTTGCCTTGATATTAATGCGTACGATGCGAAAATGACTGCTAAGCTTAGTTTTAAACGACCTCATAACAATTTTTATTGATCTTCGACTACAAACTGTTAAAATCTCCACATCTGTACCTACAGGTTCTTTTGTTCTCTTACAATTTGACTTGAAGAGAATGCGCAAGTGAAATTTAGTCTATAGGACACGACGCTATTCTCCAATTTACCATTGACTGCGATAGCAGTCGTGTTTGCGTGGAAAATTTTAAGAATTTCGTTTCGTCTTCGGCGATTTGACAATTGAAATCCAAAACGAACTCAAAATTGGCCGAATACCTTGTGTAGATTAGATGTACCTTAAAGGGAGCATAGCACAATTTCCTGTATATTTATGATGTTCTCAAGCGCGTTATGCAGCGAAATAAACCCTAGAAGAAATCACTGTGTCGGCAGGTCGAGCAATGAACACCCGCTAATATTGGGCGAGGCAGCAATGCCTGTCAAGTAGGATAGGTCAAATAATTTGGTATAATCTTCTCCCTCCATGAAAACCTTGCAACTGTACCAATTTCCGCAGACTTCGTAAAGACTAGTTCTGCAAATGGTTTGTGATTGTCCATACGTCGTGATGACTTAGCACATTTTTTGACTTTTTTCACATGACTCACCTTCATATCCACTGTCCGGATCTTATTACTTCTTGCATTCAATTCGTTGCCTCGCATCCATCATCCACGAAGGTATCCGGACTTTCGTATGGGTTCGGTTGCTACTTGAGAATCTCCGCTATTTTTATGAACGTTGCTGAAAACTGGTCGATAATATTCTTGCTGGAGTCCTGAAAGGAGCGCATTAAAACATCTCCGCCCGAATTGGAACGACTAAGATTGTACCAGACAAGTATGATACAAATCGCCCATCTCTGGTGGGGTGGGATGCTTAGTAGGGAAGGAGCAGGGTCTCACGACATCACTACCGCCATGGTAGTCTTGAGTAGGTAAAACCTCCCAATGTACGAGATTCACGTTTATTTTATGACTCTACTTTATTTCCAACTATATTTTCTCATGTGTATGAACACGCATTTGGCTTAATGAAGGTGCTTGTAACGGTGTCTCACCAAGGGTGTTTCCTCATAAGAGAAGTGATCTGCTTCTTAACGCACCAATCCGGCTCACACTTGCGCGTTTATGAAAAAGGAAACGTTCTACAAGGTGGATGTTCAAGGAATTCTGTTTTCTTCGTTATGAAACGCTTGCTTCATATGTTTATGTTTTGCACTTTCTTCCTTTTGCTTTTATGTCGATTAGAGGCTTTTTAAGTAGTTTCTTTCAATTTCTCCACATTGTTACAGTATATGCCACATTATCGAACACGTTTTTCTTCCTTCTTGTCGTCTTAGCTTAACTAATTGATTTAAAATAGTAGTGAGACTAGTTGCTATCTCGTAATAACAGAACAAGAGATTGTGTAGAACTGTGGGCTGTGAAACACCTGCTTTAAATCAACTGACTTCTATTTTACCTTCACAGCTCAAACTTGCTATTTATTCGAGCTTCCTTTCTGTTTCTATCAACACGTGAGTGCTCTTTCAAAAACCGCGTTACGCATCATTTTATGCGTTTTTGCCACAACAGTCTAACATGGGAGCCATTTTACTTTGAAACTGAAGAGATCCTGTATCTTGATGATTCTTTGCAAATGAATACCGATGCTTTTCTTGCTAACTTATTTGACATCCTCGAGCCGCCTCCCACCTCCCAGTGATGCGTAAAACTTCATACTTGGGTTGTTTGTAGTCCATATACTCTGATTTCCGTTATGGTTCTAGTGAAACCCAGAACTCCATTCGCTATTTTGTTCCAATCCAGAGTAGAACAGACTAGCGGGATAGTAACGCAGTTGTTCAGCTGCTCAGTCTCGAGCATTAAAAAAATCACTGACAGATATACTAGTAATAAGCAGTCAAGGGTGAAACACGACTTCACCATCTAGTTCAATTAGTATGATGAATCGAGATGGTCTCTTAACTAATGGGTTTGTAGGACCTTCATAACGTCATACGTTGTATGCTCAGTTGCATACCAAAGAGATCGAAACATTACTTTTATGGACCTCAATTGGTTTCGATCTATTGTATTTCACGAGTGATTTGGAGCAAAAGCTTGCAAAATAGTAGGTGGAAAATATATGAGAGACGGTTAGGCATTGCCTCCAATAAATAAGCTGATCGTCTACTCTGGGAGAAACTGGTATACTACCTGTGAGTTTAGCCATCCATCGCTTTCAGAGGTAAGCGAGCTGTACGTGGGAATTAAATGCTAAACAGAGTAAAGTAAGTGACCATCAATGCACTGACACAGAATAAGACCCCGACACGACAGCATTGAGTAGGGCGACTACTAGAATCTCAGCACTATTCAAGGCTGCCCAAATCTCGAAAGAGTGAAGTTATGATCTGTACCTACAATGCACGCTCACTTGCATCTGAGTCCTCTGCAAAGCACTTGATCATCGGCAAGAAGAATAATGTACCATGTCATCTGACTGGGTGAGACCAGAAGATGCCATCCACTGAACGCCGTCTATGACACCAGAGGAGAGCTGTTTCTCGCAACATGCGACAATAGAGGAGTCGGCGACGCCGGCGTTTTTGCCAACACGGGTTTAGCCACGAATAGCGATTCATTCGAACAATAACAAACCGAATCGGACATTTACGACTGAAGAGATGTAGATCAATATGGCGGATGAGGCAAAGCTTCGTAGCACAACTCGTTGAACTTCTGCAGTGATGGTTCCGCAACATGAGACCGGGAGTTGCTGTGGGTGATTGGTCCTCTTCACTTGACCTCATCGCTGTTGCTGGAGTTTACGGTGTACTTCGTCGATTTGTTGGCAGTACTTCTCTGCCGTAATCACTTCGTCCAGGTTCAAAAAGCTGTGATGAATCAGCCTGGCTGCAGACAACCGAATATTCACCATAACCTTTTTTGGTGCAATTTCGGCTTTGAGAAGCGCAGCGGAGCCTGATCGCAGTCCAACCATTGAGCCGAACGTCGCCGATTGTCATACGGAGTCCACTTCCCGTCGCACCTTACAATTCGATCAAGGAAAGGGTCGCTTTTGACACGCAGAATAGGAGCAGACGACACTTCAGAACGGCAACTTTTTTGATTATCGTTCAATTCGTGCGGCAGCACTTGCTCAACTTTTTTGTCTTTCCTGTGAGATTCAAGTGAGTGAAAATTGTTCCCAGTCCTCGTTAACACATTGGCATCACACGTTGCCTGTCAGAATGTCATGTTCAGATTTATTGGAAGACAAGCACGGCTGTGTTATTGTTAAAGGAAAGTGACCTCCACGATATCGGCAACTATCGCCCAATCTGCTTGCATTGTGTCGTCTACAAACTCTTCGCTCCAGTAATCCTGAAGAGGACTGTCAGAACACTGGACAGAGGACAGCTAGATAGGCAAGCGGTGTTTTGAAAAGGATTCAATAGAATGGATCACATCTACACGATAACAAGACCAAGTGAAGTGTTAAGAAAGTACACCGTTATGTCTCACTTTCTTCGATTTAATGTAAGCATTCAACTCAGTTGAGACAGAAGGAGTCATAGAAGCTCTGGACAACCGCGGCGTCCCTATTCAGTATATAAAGATTCTTCACGAGCTATATAGAAATTTCACAATGAAAATATCAGCATTCACTAACGAAGGGTTAGGCAATACGATACCACATCGTCAATATTGTTTACTTCCACCATATAGAACATCATGCGAACACTGGAATGGAATAAGGGAGTGGAAATCGATGGTCGGCAATTGCATCAACTTCGTTTTGTTAACGACATCTTTCTTATAACACCAATCATGAACCCATCCGTCAGAACGAACTAGCCGACCTTGATAATGTGTGCAAAGAATGGCCTTTCACTAAATTTTTACAAAGCGACGTTCCTGAAGAAAGGATTGTTTTCCGTATTCCCCATTTACGCTTAACGGAATCGACATCTCTGAGTCCTCCATCTACGTCATTCAAGGTCAGGAAGTCAATTTGATTAACAACTTAACTCCAGACTAGAGTAAGAGGAAACGATCGTGCTGTCGAGATTTCAAGAGCACCGAGGATGTAGTGAAGAAAACAAAGAACACCCGACTCCGTCTCCACCTTTTTGACTTCACTATTCTCCCTGTCTTAACCTATGCGATGAAAAACTGGTCGCTACGCGACCAGGATGTGAGATCACTCAGCGTTATCCAACGCTCAATGAAAAGATAGAAGTATCCTACAACAAGTAAGTAAAAGAGGTGATCCGTAGCTGCGACTACGTCAACGATCAAAAATCAAAGACTCCATTCTGTACGCGAAATTGCCGAAGATAAGGTCGGCTGATTAGGCAATGCGTATGACCGACAGCCAATGGAAAAAGCCGCAAGTGAGTGGTTTACTCGGGATGTCAAACCTATGTGGGAAGACTACCGACCCCATTGTCAGAGTATTTAACGAAAACCGTGGTAGAACGGTATGATGCTCACCGAGTCTCTAGAGTGAGCAGAATCCACTGGGCTATTCTTGCCCGTAGGGCAGGGAAAAGTGGAAAATTTACTGCCCCCCACTCGACTTACTTAACGACCACAACAGGTTGTACAGATAACTCTCGAGATTGCCATGTGAAAACTGGAAGAGTGGAAGCATGAAGGTACGGTTAAGGTGTTCAGATGGCAACGAAATTCATTTTTTGGTCGTTTTCTGGCGACGAGCACATACAATGACGATTTCATTCATTTCCAAAAAGTAATAGAATTTTGGAAAATAGAATTTAATTGTGCAGCAATCTAGCAAGGTGGTTTCTTTACCCCTTTGTCACTCTTCTTCTCCAAGCTTTTTAAGTTCACCAGCTTTGTGTGTAGTAAAATATACCGGGAAAGGAAATCCCTGTGTGGAAAGGACGTGCGATGACGTCCACGGTTATAAGAAAGTCTCGTCTCTGTGAATATTAGTGTGACTGACTGCTCACCTTCTGTATTTCGCTACGGGGGACTTCAGTGTATTAGTTGCTGAGCCGAACGCCCTGAGACACTGGGTTGTAGTCCTCTGTGATAGTAAAACAACAATAACAGTAAAACGATAACGATACAGAAGATTGGGAGTTGTAGAAGCATTGGTTGAACGAACTGAACGAGCTGAAAGCTGAAAGCTGACGGAACAGTTCATAATGTTATAATGAGCGGAGATTAGCTAGGATAGTTGAAGACACAGGATGCACATGGTTTGAGAGAGGCCGATTCAATGAACAGTATGGTAGCCGCGAATGCTTTCATCAAAAAGCGGCAGGTGGCAGGTGGGAAGCTCTAAGAAAGTTTTTAGAGAGGACTTTGTTATTTGGAGATGACTAAGCAGTGAGAATCGAGCACGTGATCGATGAAGATTAGTGGACGGAGAAATAATGTAAAGGTAGAGAATATTCGACAACTATTGAGAATGTTCTGTATAGGGCGAGTGATGAACATTCACAAGTAGTGGTCACTGCCGCAGGAACATCTTTCGAGTACGGCAAGTCTAATAATCTTATATATCCTTACCCGCTATGAGGATCTCTCAAGTGTAGCTATTCCCGTGCTCCTTAAGGATTTTAAAAGGCCAGGTGAATTCTGAATTTTGTTGAGGACATCGGTCTTAAGCTTAGGAGGTCGTTGAATATTGGTTAAATAGATTCTCACTAGAATCCTGCGATTGTCGTACCCACGTTTCCATCACAGGCACTCTCAATCTTTTGTGGATCGAGAAGAAGATAATGAACACAAATCTGCTAGCAGTCCTCCTGATCCTGAAGGGCTGAGGGATTTGATTGGCGCGAGTTGAGGTTCAACGACAATGGTTTTACGCGTACTTCTGGAACGGCACCTCTGAAACTGCACTTCTCGCACCCCTATTTACTATTGCTTACTTCTTTGGATACTTGGATGGCCCGTCCGCACGTTTCTTTTTTTTCGGAATTTCGCTAGTTAACCTTCACCGTTCCCTAGAGTTGCGAGGTGAGCCTAACCAAAGTTTGCCCAGGCTCGTCGCGGCAACAGGTAGTCATCGTCCTTGTGGTTTAGGAGATTTGCCACCATGCGACTTTGATACCAGGACGATGGTGGATATTGGCATTGGTTTACTCTTAACTGGGCTTTCTGATGGAAACGCCGGACTTCTTCTCAGTATGGGAGGCCCTGCTAGTGGAATGAATCCCCGCTGCATATCAAACCCCGATTCCCAGAAACACCCAGCCTTCATGAGGCGGTAAACCTTTGGGGGATTATTTACTATTAAAACAAGTAATGGTGTTATTTCCCTCAATTCGCGTTATCGGTTCTCATTTCCTAAGATGCTGAGATATTAAAACCCAAAGAGGGAAAAAACGACGGATTATGCGATCTGGATAATTTTCCGTTATCCTACAGCGTTATACATTTCCAGTGTGATATGAGCGTATCGTACCCTATCCAGATATCGTTCCACATCTGCCTTTACCACATCCAAAAAGCCGTTTCCGGTTCGCCTTTGTAAGACTCCGGAAGCGAGCGCTCAGTGGGAGACATTGGAAGAAAGGTAGTCCGGCGACGCGTGTTGCGTCGCGTTTCGCTTGACCCCGCAAGGCATGTGGTTGCCAGCAGCCTCGTAGTGTCGTGTAGTCGTGAAATTAGAGCTGTTTTTTTTCTAACCAGTAGAAGTAAGGTGTTTTTTGTAATGTGTTTTCGATCTAACTCTTACGATCTGTGTGGAATTGTTGGATTTTCATAATAATCTTCATTCCTTTTAGTGGACCCTTCTGGATATCCCCCAGTCCACGGTTCTCCCCGCCCGTGAAGCCCAGAACTTTTCGTCCAGAAGGTTCTTTTCTTCTTATTGAGTACTATCCGCCAGCACTCTTATTCTATCGATGTGCGATAAGATTTTAATGTTTTTCCTCGTGCCACGATGTAAGATGCTCTTATAACTGAACAGAGACCGTTTCCATGTCCTCTCCTTTCGCACTTCGGACGTTTTTCTTTCTTTTTATAGTTGTGAATTATCGATTTATTTCAGTTTACATGCTTTCTTAGGTGTTTTGGTGATCATCCGACTTCATTTGATAGCATGGATGAGCCATTCCTGCCACCACTCACCCCACTCGATCAGTACATGGAAACTGAGGTACGAGACTTCTCTACTGTTTCTAATGTACTGCGTCGGAAATCTTTATTCTTCAGCCTGATTTTTCTTTGAATAGTTATGATCACTAATGGAAACCAGATGTGTTGGTTGCTCTTCTATTCATGTACATTTGCATTGAGTATTATGCGTATTCCGCTCAGAGTGAGGAGTATCCACGTTATGTTCGGGTTCGGAGGCTAAATGCGTCACCTAACTTGTTACGTTCTTGTTTGTTTTTCTGTTTGTTTGCTGTTGTTTATCTGTGCCGGAGTGCAGCTGCAAGCCATTGTGAAGGCAATTGACGTCGACGGTGAACAATTGTTTGAAAACGGCCAGCCACTTCAAGCATTTTTCTTTTCTTTTCAGCGTTCATGCCAGTGAGAATAATTGTTCGCGCTGATTATTTCTTCAGTCGTGGTGGAGAAATTGCTTCGGATGCTGTCCCCACAGCATTATTCTTAGATATTTGTCAGTACTTCGACACTATTCCGCAGTCTAAGCTTTAGTTTTAGGGTGGTATGTTTTTTCCAACTATTCGATTATCGAAGGAGAGCTCCTAGTTGTTACTATAAGCCTAAGGGTTTCGAAAACTGCGATCAGTATCACCAGATCGTAGATTTTTCCTAAGCACTACCAAAGGTGAAGTCGTGTATGAGTTGACTTACTCTTCACAGATTGGACTTCGTCCCGTCGTAGACGTTTCCAAGGTCTTCGGGGAGGTGAAGAATGAAATTCACGACCATGCTAGTTACAAACAGAGTATAGATATTCATGAACGTTCGTAAAGTCTTGATGAGATTGTGCTATGTCGTAGCAAGGTCTACGGCGCAAATAATCGCTTTTTCCACATTGAGCGACTTTTGATTTGAGGGAGTGTTGTGAATGAGGTCTACGAAAATAGATATTTTTTTGTTGTTTGAAAAATTTAAGGGTAAACTGGCCGCCTCTATTCGTTGGCTGATATTACGTGTGTATGGACAAGAGAAAGACATACCGGACAAGCTTCGGCTTAGTGGCTTTCGTGACGAAAGAGTAAGCGTTAGAAAACTTCTATAACTCTATTTAGTCCAATGTGTTCACACCGTTTAGGGTCATTTACAATTAGACATCGCCATACTAACTGGTTTGACTAACGGCTCACTGTATTGTCAAGCAGCAGCCAAAATATTCAAAGAACCACATCTTGTAACGGTTTGTTTTCTTCTTGCTATGCTTTTGACAATTTTTTGAAAGTTACAGAGCACAGGACATGCTGATCATTCCAGTGGTATTATGTATATACTCGTATACTTAGACACTTGGACGGCCCGTCCGTACTGGTTGTGTGGACCCCAGCATAATCTCTACGGAGTTTTGCTGGTTTAGCCATTGTGATTCTTTGGATTCCCAGGGTCAGCCTGGCCAAAATCGGCCGCAGGTAGTCACCACTACTGATAGTCGCCACCCTTGCGGATCAGAGCGGGATTTGCTACCATGCGACTAATTTGATAACAGGTCGTTGGTGAATTCTGGTATTGGTTTACTCTTAGCTAGGTTTCCTGATGGAAACGCCGGACTTCTTCTCAGCTTGGGAGACCCTGCGTGGGGATGAATCCCTCCACTGTACGTCGCACTCCGACACCCAGGAACAACTTCCAGCCACAATGAGGCGGTAAACCGTTGGCAGGGATATTATGTATATGTTTATTATGTGTGTACATATATACATGTACTATATATATCACTTGTGCTACATGTATCCCTTATCCATCCGTTGTTCACTGAGTGACTAAAGTGGGCGCCACTAAGGTTTGTATTTGTCTACATCCCATGTGAAGGTAGCCCAGTCGGTTGTGCTCATTCTAGGGACTTACTGAACACACAGAGGACACACCACGTTTTGCTGTTTCATAAATGTATCTTTATCTGAAAATCTGGATGAGATTATCTTTCGCGCGATGTGCTGCTTGTCAGTTAACTGTCTAAAGAAGAGATGCATAAAAGGCTTTTGCTTTCTTAATCCTTAGTTCTTCGTTTTCCAATTCTAGTTCTTAATCCTACCATTTCCTTCTTAGTGTTCAGATTTAACTTTATTATATTAAGAATTAAGTTTTTGTTCTCCTGTTTAAGCAATCTCATGGAGCGGTCATAGCTGCGCTTACTGACTATGGCGTCGATGTGGTGCAATGTAGCAATGGGAAGTCGGCAAATGTCACAGAAGCTGAGCTTTTTACAGCCGATAGCTTCCAGATGGTAAAATTTTTGAAGCCGTTGGTTAATGTGCTGAGTGAAGGATGTAGATATCCTACTCAAGGCTGCTCATCTGGCGATGATGGATGCGTTGATGTTGGCCCATCTTCGTAATGTAATCACTGTGGATCGCGTTATCGATGCTGTTAGGTGAAAGCTTTATCACATTTTTTCGATTTTTGAAGTCGTAATATAGCGTTCCTCTTGTTTTTTAAGCCGTCATACGACCGTAGACGAGAGTGAACGACCTATGGACTCAGTTGATGCGCTTCTTTTCTGGATTAACAAAGTTTGCCTTTTAGTGAGAGATGATGTTGAACGCTCGCAAATACAGTTGAAAGGTATCTGAAAAGTTTTCTCGTGGTTTTAATAATGCCTTTCAAGTACCTAGTTTTCTAGGTGGTGCAGAAGGCGGTATGATACCCGAAATGGAAGATCTTTATGACGAAATTAGTGATGGGCAGTGCCTTTGTGCGCTCGTTGCATGGTATCGCCCTAGGGAAATGGATCTCGAAGGTATGACACATTTTCTCTTAAGTGGATGCAGAAGTACGAGTTTTTTTTAAACACATGATTTATAGAGGTGTGCTACAATGATCAGATGAGCACAGCGGATTGTCACTACAATTTGTTTCTTTTGCAGTGGGTCTTTCTATAATTATCAGAGGCTTTTAAACTGGTTTTTCGTGATTTTTTTTGCCATATTTTTATTATAAGTGGTGCTACATTTTTGGACGCCTTCTTTTTTCGTTTTGTCAAGTTGTTTGGTTTTTCAACTCAGTTTCAATCAGTTTATAATTCTCAGTTTAGAATAATGAGACTATTTACCATTCAGCAATAATTTATCGGCAGAATATGAAAAAGTGTAGGCTGTGGCACAGTTTCTTTAAGTTTGATTGAATTTTATTTTATCTTAATAGATTAAACTTTGCTGTTTATTAGAGCTTTGTTTTCGAGTTGCTATCAGCAAGTGCTATCAGTGTATCAGTGCTCTTTTATCTTTATGTTCTGTATCATTTTTAGGCGTTTTTGCCATAACAACCTGCCGTGGAATCCATTTCACTTTGAAATTGAAGATATTCTATATCTTCGTGATTCTTTACAAATGAATATTAATGCTTTTCTTTCTGACTTATTTGACATCTTCGAACCTGCTCCAACTGGTGCGTTTTATAGCTTTATGTTACTTTATCGTTTGTAGTGTTTATATGATACGATTTCAGTTGTGGTTCAACCTGAACCCATGACTTCCCCTCGCCGTTTTGTTCCAATCCAGCCTATTCCGGACTTGCGAGCTGGTAAATCAGTTGCACGTACTCCTCAATCTCGAAGTGTAAGAACTCCATTGAGCAGCGTACTAGTAACATGTAGTGAAAGTGGAAGTGCGACTCTACCATCTCGTTCCACGAGCATGATGAGTCAAGATAGTCTAATGACTAACAGGTTTGTAGGATGTTTATAACGTTGTAAGTTATTTCGTCGGCGTTTTGTCTTCTCCGGATTGAGGCGTTTGCTCTTAAGAGTGCAAGACTCCCATCTAACTATTTCGCAACGACAAGCGTCAGAGCAGTGGGGAGCGAACATTACAAACTTCGGTAGTCTGGCACAGGTAGAAATCTGTCTATTAATAGACGTTATGTCCATTTTCCCGTATCCATTATTCCGTTTTTATCTGTGCCTTCATATCCATATATGCATGCTTATAGCCCAATGAGGGTAGTACCATCAGCACGTCGGCATCGGTATCTCCATATGCGAGAAGTGATTCGCTTCCAATCGCATCAATCCGGCTTGCACTTGAGGAGAAAAGGCGGGACCATGAGAAGAGGAAAGCTCTGATAAAGTGGGGTAAACGATTCCGTTTTTTCTTTCTGAAATATTTGTTCCCAATATGTATATTTAGCACGATGACTGAGTCAGAACGCGCTGAAAAAGGCAAGGCTGCATTTTTTGCCTTGATGAGCAAGTACGAACCTGATTCCACGGTCGGTTTATTATTTCCTTCTGTCATTATTTTTAATACTTATCTTAATCATTTTGGAGAATGCTGCAAAGTCCGAATCTTCGGACGCGAAGCTTATTCGGGAGTTGGATCGCAAGCTGACAGATCTTATGCAACGAGTAACGCTTATGAGTGGCTCTGATGAACAACGTATGATTCGTGCATTATCGCAGCCAAGTGTATATCAAGGTGGTCGAGGCACTACTTTTACCGGTTTTGTGTTTACTTTAATAATGTTTTCAGAAATGTCGCAGGTAGGTGCTACATCAGCTCGAGCCGAATATGGAACATTGCCGCATAATGTTGGCTCTAATGCAATGCCCAACTATGCACAATCGTTTTCTCAGCAGCAGAAACAAGAGTTTTATGGATATGCACAACCTCACCAGGTAATAAATATATTCACCTTGTTTATTTGTACGTTGCATATCAATAGTCAAAACAAACTCCACGTGTACTCCAAGCACTAACTGTATAGTTGTTGGGACATAGCGCTAATTATTACTGTCTATGGTAAATGAAATTTGGTTTTAAACTAGGCTGTAATTGGTGCTTTTCGTACATCGTAGGGATTTTCGCAGACGATTAACCATACATTTTTCGGTTTAAAATTTCCGCTTTGTTTCTCTCTACTTAGGTAATTTAGAAATTACAAGTCTCTTTATATCAGCGACAAACCGCTGCGGTGAAGTGCACATATTGCAAAGAACACACCTGATCTCAAGATCTTAGCCTTGTGTTCTCTTATTCTTTTTCTTGACGTCTCTTGCCTAGAGATGTTTCTATTATAGCTACGTTCGAGTTTATCAAATGGAATGCTGAACTATTTGCCTGGTCAAGCACCACCGTATGGTGAGTACCCCACTGGCCTCGTGCAGCCACAACAGATGCAAACGCAGCCCATGTATCCACCAGATATGTACTCTTCGCCTTTGTCCGGTGCATATTCGCAGCAGTCGCGACAACCTGCCTATGCAATGGTAGGTTAATTTGGGGGTATATTAAGATGCAATGAGTCTTTCCATATCGATCGATTCACATGTTTGCTCAGATGCATCAGTCTGCTCATGTCGCTAACGGGTTTACACTTCACCAGTCACCAATGATGGCACCATCCGTCTCGAGCTATTCATCACCACAATCTTATGCACAAACACCGGTTGACACTCACATTCCATGCTCATTTGCTGCCCAACCACAGACTCCAATGTTACCGGCCGTAATACCGCAACAACATGGGCAGTCATACTCTTCGTACCAGAGTGCACAAGTCGAGAATCAACCACCGTTCGGTTACGAACCTCAAGATGGAACAATGACGTTTCGGCTGCATAATCAAGATGTGAATTTTTTAATTTTCGGTTTTTATTAACGCATTTTATAAAGTTGACGTGAATTTCTTGGCTGAGTTTCCTCAAATCATATTGGTTTTCAGTCGATCATAGTTTGTAGTATCAGTTTGTTTCTTGCTTAGAACAGAAATTGTACCTTGTAAAAAAGCTTTCTTGAAAAGGAGCCACTTTCGTTACCTTTTCATTGTGTGCTTCTGAAAATCCACACAAATTCCATTATAATTTCAGGCAGCATCTAGTCGCGTTGATCCTCCTCTTGAAATAAATCGAAATCTCACAAATTGGGGAATGACGTATCAGCAGGTATATACACTATTTCTTTTCATGTTCGTCATATTTTTTATATATACTACACTATTTCATTCTTGCTTTAATATATTAACCATGTAAATGAGTTATGTGAGCTATATCTGGCAGAAAATAAGTTCCTCAACTAGCGGGCACTGCTAACAATTTGTGAAATTGGAAATATCACAGTTGGGATTCTGTTCTACTGATTTAAAGCTATGCAAAGTTTTATAAAGTGCTACTTTCATTTTAACCTAATTTAAAATTCAAACTTAATGAAAGTTTAAAAGGACCGGTTTTTAATTTTTCTTTTAACCCGACTTCGGCTGTCGAGAACGCGTAGGATGAAATTGGGAGGGCATGCTCTCGTCCTATGTTAGAAGTCGCGTTTACTGTTGGTAATACGAATCTCGAAAAAACACGTTTAAAAATATCATAGGAGGTTTAAAAATTTCAGACTTCCTCTTGATAATAAGTGAAGACTTGTATCTTGCTGACGAATTCGTAAAGATTCTAGTGGTGAAATACAACTCGTATGAAGTGCTGAGATATTTGCAAAACTCCGGACCACAGGTGTATGCAGTGGGGAACGAACACGCGCTGTTATCCTTACCGGTAAGGACAACAGCTTGTGTTCGTTCCCCACTGCATACACCTGTGGTCCGGAGTTTTGCAAATATCTCAGCACTTCATACGAGTTATATTTCACAACATACCCTGCCATTAAAAAGAAAAAGGCAGTAAATAAAAGAGTTAAGATTCTAGTGGTATTTATTTTAGTTAACAAGGTTCACAATGAGTTGATATGAGCTAAAAACTTGGCACGCGTACACTTACGTACACGTATGGGTGAGAAATCAATCCATACTGGCTATTTTGCCCTTCGTGACTAAAATTCGATTCATACCGAGACTTGTATGTTAATTGAAATGGGAAACATTAAATGTTACAGAGGTTCACTGAGTAAATAGGAGATTTCTTATTCTATTATGCAGCCATGATAGTATTTGAGAACCCCAAAATTGTTTTTCATTTTCTTTTTCTTCCATCGGACCTTGTATATCAATTAACGGAACGAGTAGACAATTAGCAGATCACCTGTCACCTATTGTCTCCTTTATCGTCGAGTGACTCGAGCCGGAGGCCGTAAATATTTTATTGTTCCCTGTCGCGGTTAAGAGTAGTCCAGTGACTTCTGCTCACTCTAGGACCTCGCTGAATATCATACTTTACTTCTAGGGTTTTGGTGAAGAACTCTGATCATCGGGTCCGTGGTCTTCCTGCAGTACGTTTGACCTGCCAGGAAATCCAGCCGCTTACGGCTCTTCTCCATCAGTTGTCGTTTATATGCTTTACTTTTCCGACCCGAGTTATCGGCGTGTGGAACAGTATCTTCGATTTTCGATCGTTGGCGTAGATCGGGGCTTCAGTTTTTTTTCCTCACTTGTGTGATGTGGGTAACTCCTAGCATCATCTTTCCGCCTGCGCGTTCAATAACACTGAGTGGTCTTTCATTCCTCTCGCGAAGCGACCAGGTTTTTAAAGTATACTAAATCCAGAAAGAATCAGAAATCGCAAAGGCGCGCACGGAGTTGGGTGCTCTTTGTTTTCTTCACTCCATCCTCAATACTCTTGAGCGCTCCGCAAGTCGTTCGCTTCCTACTACTCAACTACGGAGTTAAGTCGTTCATCACGTTAATTGCCCGAACCAGAAAGGCGTAACTGGAACATTTGGAGATATTCGCTCCGTTGAGGGTGAATGGGATATACATGAACAATCCCTTCCTCATGTACATCGTTTTTGTGAGATTTTGTTGAAGATCAATCTTTCCACATGTTTTGTCAAAGTCGGCCAGCGTTCGTTTCGCTTGGCTAATGTTTGGTGTTGTAAGGACGATGTGATCAGCAAAGGAAAGATGGTGTAACTGCCGACCATCGATTTTCATTCCCATGTTATCCAATTCTAATGTTCGCATTACGTTCTGGAAGGTGGCGGTAAATAATTTTGGCGAGATGGTGTCGCCTTGCTTAACCCTTCTTTTGACGTCAATGTTAATATCGTTGTAGAATGGTGATATCTTGGTTGTGAAATTTTTGCATAGCTCTCGAAGAATCTTTATTTACTGAGTAGGGACTCCTTGACTATGAAGGGCTTCCATGGCTGCTTCTATCTCAGTTGAGTCAAAGGCCTTCTTTAAATCGATGAAAGCGGGACGGAGGAGTCTTTTGTACTCTCGCGATACTTCAGTGTGTCTTGTTATCGTGTAGGTGTGGCCCTTCGTACTAAATCCTTTTCGAAACTCTGTTTGTTCACATGGCTTTCCTTCATCAAGTGTTCTGTCAATCCTATTTAGGATGACTCGAGTGAAAATTTTGTAGACGACAGACAGTAAGCAGATTGGGCGATGGATGCCGATCTCGTGAGGGTCTTCTTTTTTGAACACTAAGACGCTCATGCTGGTCTTCCACTGAGTAGGGACCTTGCATTCGGACAGGTGACTTGTGAACAACGGGGCCAGTTGTTTACGAGGACTGGCGGAAGGTTCTTCAGGTGTTCTGATCTTATCCTGTTCAGAAGTGGTGCTGTTCGATTTTTCACCGACGAGATGGCATGTCGGATTTCGGAAGGGAAACCGGTGGTACAACTTGTCCATCCGCCTTTCTTTCATATGAGGGAAGGAGAACGTGGCTGTTGAAGAGATCTGAGTAGTATTAGTGAATGATTTCGCCCATTGCCTTTCTGGACACTGTTAACTGTTCCGTTTGGGTGTAGGAATGCAATCATCTTGGTTTTGTAATTGGAGAAGGTTCGGTGGGCTTTGCGAATGCTTTTCTCATCCTTAGCAGCTTCGATCATAACTGCTGTTCTTGTCTCTTCAACATCCTCTCTTACGTACTGCCTGCATTGGTTTACGAATTCGGACGTGAGTTAGCGGTTGCCTGTAGTTCGTGCGATTTCACGTTAACGTATCAGCTCGAGTCGAGCTTGAGAGTGGATCTGAGATTTTAACTGCCTCTCCGTGCTCGTCCCCCAACTCTCTCGAATTTGCGGCTTTTTCGGGGTTAAGGGAATGGAGGAGTGTTTTTGTCTGTTTTACTGTGCTAACCTTTTCATACCTATGTATATCTTGGTGGGATCTGAACGTGGAGGCTGGGTATACTCCCTGGTAGCTTACCAGTCTCTCCCAGAGTGGACATAAAACTCATTTGTTGGAGGCGACTCTTAACCGCCTCCCATATACTTCCCTCTTACTTTACTGAAGCTGTTGGCAGATTTGGTTCATGGAATACTTTCTTCATTACACACTCACGCACGCATGCATGAGTATGTCATCATAAATAGAGAAGGTAAGTGCCAAATCTGCGCGGCAGAAAAGTGAGTCATTCCCCTTGATCCATCTGCATCTCAGGCAAGCAAAGGTCGCTTTTGGTCAGCGATCAACCCCCACCCGCCATCTGGGGACGCGCCTCGATTCCTCGCGACTAATCGGCGTGAGATCCCTCTATGAGAGTGATCTGTAGGGTGTTTTCAAATAATGTCGTTAATGTGGGCAGTTTTTCATCTTAGTATAAAGAATTGGATTGAATAAAAATGATATCATAGAAAATTTTTTCGAATCTGTAGAGGGATTATTCTAAATGTCTTATATAAGTTTCTTTACTTGCAATAAGTCAAGTGCGCAAATCCTGTAATACGCAGATTATCGAGAAGTTTTCGGTGATTTTCGAGAAACCTACGCGATTGCGAATTTGTTAGAAAGTAGATTATTTTGTTTGTCATGTTGAGTGTGTTAACTTGATCTAGTTGTCTTTATTTTAGGGTCATACCGCTCGTCTACAGCGTAGAACATGGGAAAATCAGACGTTTATCAAAAGTCAGCAAGATCTTGTTAATCAGCCAGATCTAGTACCAACAGTTCCAAGCGATGATGTGCATTTCATTAACTTGTTTGGTAAGAGTGCTAAAAGTCATTTTCCATCAATGCGCATTTACCTAGGATCGAATCCGTCTGCAGTCTTCTGCACTCGGAACTCTGCGTCGTTCAAGAGATTCTCGTTGTGTAAGTGACATCACTGGCTCTCCTGCAGCTGAGGTCTCTTCTCTGGAATGGGGGCCGTCGCAAGGTTCTCATTCGATTTGGTTGATGCACTTTGGTTGCTGAACGTCCTCTTCAATTATTAAATCCGTTGTTTTGAATTTAGATCATATGGTTGTTCCATCACAGCCGTCACCACCTCGCGATCCGTCTAATAACATGAATGATGTAGCTTTAGATTCTACAAGGTCTGTTATGAACATGAACCTTGCTTTATTAGTCCGTTTTTATTTGATGTATCTGTCGTTGATACACTAGCGCTACGAAAATCAGTATTAAAGGAGCTGTTTTATTGTTAAAATCTGCTAAACACGGAAAAGTCCTTTGAATGTCGTATTCTAATCGGTGCTTTATTTTATTAATCTTATTGAAAATTTATTTGCAGAAACGTGTCTTCTACCGGGCCAGCGTTTGTTGTAAGTGATGATCAAGCGGCGGAGGATTTCGACAAAATTGTACGTTCAACTAGCTTTTAATTTGCGGACTTGTTTTATATAGCCGTTTAATTCTGTGTGGTCGTTACCTTTCATTGTGTATCGAGTAAATTATCACAGGCCGAACAGCGTCGTCAAGCTAAACGAGCTGCACTTTTAGCAAAGACAATGAAACGCAAAGAGGAAATCGAAAACAAGGTCGTAACCGCATTTCCATAAGGCTTCTTTCTGCCTTTTAAAAGTTTTTATTATGCGAACTTTTATATTTGCGATATATGAGAGTGGGAGAAGTTAATACGAGATGAAGGGAGTCTTATAATTTCCAAAGAATGCAAGATGGTGTCTTGGTTTTGCCACATTTTGTTGTGTAAGCACGCAGTTGGTAAAATATACGATACTGCGAGAGTTGCTGGATTTTAGTTAATAGTTGTTAATACTGAACAAATATTTTGCTTCTGTTTGAGTGACGTGCATCTCAACACGCGTAGAATAGAAACTACAGGCGACGCCGGCCGGTTTACGAAGCTGGTGTTGTGAATTATTTCGAATTAAGTACTGTGGTAAATTAAGAGGAGCGCTCCACATAATTATTGATTATAGGATTAAGAAAACTAAAGAAGTTTTAAGAGTTTTATATTAACTGTGTTTGCCGTATAGGTTGACCAAATAGAGCAGCGAAATGCAGAGAAGAGAATGGCTGAGATAGCAAAACGGGAAATGGCCGAACAACGAAAACTGGAAAAGGAGCTGCAGCGGTATTTCTTAGGCTGTCTTTACCACTTATGACATTTATAGCAAAAACGGCATTCGTATTTTGTATTTAGTCAGAAGATTCTGGATGACTACAAACGACGAAAAATGGAGAAAGAATTGGGTATCGAATCAGGTTCGACTTCTTCCCGAGGTTCTTCTGGACGTGGGCACTCGCAACCTCCTTTCATCCGAGCTAAATCTCAGGTAAATTTTTTTTAGAAATGACTACATGCAAATTTGGTATTGCAAACGGAGAGGGATTGGAATATCGTAATTTATAGCCAGTTTGTTGAAAAAAAATTAATGGTTTCGGAGTGGATCATTCACTGTAGCATGCGCCATGCATTCGAATTAATCAGGAGTCGTTAGAGGTGATTCAATGCATATCTGGTATCTACAGTGACTTGTAGTGGATGTATTAAGTGCTGCTATCATTTAAGACAAGTCTAGCACGAATACGCCTATCGCAGATGAATGGAAGTATTGGTGAGCTCCGAGCGTGGGATCGAATGCACGATAACGTATATGTTGCAGGGAACCTCTAGACCTTGCCTTACATTCATACTGATCAAATATTAGTGGGACACAATTGTGCAATTGTTTCAGTAGTTTTTTTTGCTGTTAATTCCTTTTCTATTGGGCTTACTTACTTCGATATTTTGATGGCCCATCCTAACTGGTTGTGTGGTCCCCAGCATAGCTTCCATTTTTTCGGAGTCTTGCCGATTTAGCCATTGTGATTCCTCGGAGTCGCGTGCTCAACTTAGCCACGGCATGACCCAGGTCGCCACCACCACAGGCAGTAGCCGCTTCGTGGATGAGAGGGTGATTTGCCACCATGCGAGTAGTTTGATGCCAGAGTGGTGGTAGATTCTGGTATTCGTTTACTCCTAGCTGGACTTCCTGGTGGATAATTTTGTTGGGCTATTGATAGGATTGATTGTAACGTCAAGTTCAGGGAAGCCACAGCATCAATTTTGTTACGCCGTTTGTGGTTTTGGTTTAATAGGATTGACATCTTGCTTCGATTCTTATATCAGGGCCGATTGGTGTGTACAGTACTTTCTTTCATGTTGTTGATCGTCTTTTCAAAAATAATCCAGATGTCTGAGTCAATTATACCTACTGGAAGTTCGGAGAAAGCCCGCCTTCATCGAATACGTGGGCAATCGACCGTAGAACAACGGATCCCTGTCCAGAGTCTACAAGAACCAAGTAGGTGTCAGGTCTCTTGACGTTTTTTAGTGGTAATAAATTTCCTGGTGGTGTCAACATTTACGATAGTTAAATACAGTTAAAGTTCGATAGCGTAGAGTTTGCCGTATGCTATCTTATCGACTTTCGTATATCTTTTTTTCATGAAGTCGTAAGATTCTTGTGTGATAGTCGAAAAATGTATTATTATGGGCTATTTGTAATCTGTATTTATATCAACACTATATTTCCTTGATATCCCAAAGCAGTGAGCGATGTCAATTTATTGATTCTTGAGTTCGTTTCACTATTTTCTTTTCATCATTACCCGTTTTTATTTTTAATGCCTTTCCTTCATTTCTAACTTCCTCTTCTATTCACTGATAGGTTCATGTGCAATTTGCTACCTATAGATCGTAATGCCTGGAATCCTGTCTTGGTAGACTATTATTGAATAACGGGACTTCGTAATGATACCGAACACCCGAAAACAAATGTACGTCTAGCTTTCAGCTCACAAACTGTTTGCAAAAGCAGTACCCAAATCAAATCGTGGGTTAGTAATCAATGCACTGCAGTATAGTGTGTTCCCTGGTGCTGTGAACGACGCAACGAGAGTCAAGGTGAGATGGAGAAGTTCATAGATTTTTTAAAGTTTACTTTTCATATTCAGACGATGAACGACTTATCAGCGTCGGATGCAAAACATTTCCTTGTACTCTTTCGTGATAATAAGTGTCAATACAGAGGACTTTATAGTTGGGACCAGGTTTTTTTTTACACTTTGTTTTTTTTGCTTCTGGACCAGAATTTGCTCAGCGAACGATGAGAGGATAGGAATCGTTTATAGTTGGGTTATCAGCTACTATTTTGGAAATCTGTATGGGTCTCCATGGCTAAGACGCAGAAGTATTTTATGTCTCCATACCATTGTGAAAGAAAGCATTGGGAAAAGACGTTGGGGAAAAACATTGTGAAACACTTCTAATTGTTAGTAGAAATATTCCAAGGCAGAAATTCGATCTGAAAATCTGAGTTCGGTTTACTTTCCTATCACTGAGTTGTCAGCAGACACTGTCTACAGTGTATATAAAAGTTCTGTATGTCATTATTATGGGTTTGTTGTTTTGATGAAATAGTTTGCTTTCCTTTACTGCAATTTTTCCTGCATTTGGCAGCACTGTTTTTCTTATTATTGTTCTTTCATTGCTGTATTTCAGGTCTCGGATACGGTTATCAAGATCTCAGGGCAAGGTCCTTCGAAATGCTCCGAGGGTATCATGAAGTTGATGTTTAAGTACGATTTTTCGAACTTATGCCCTTTCAATTTGAAATGTTCGCTCTTTAGCGGGGAGTTCAAAGTGACACAGTATTTTTGGAATTGGATATAATCAACTAAATTAGAAATAACTGAAACTAACGTATTTTTGTCAACGTTTTCTGGACTTTGGAATTTAGTCTGTATAGCGATTCACATATATGAATTTTATGAAATATCGTTGTGTTTCCTCATTAAGGAGGTTATCAAACCTGTGACGTTCTGAGCCGCAATTTGAAAGAGAGCGGGGTTGGATCCGCTGCACTTCTTTAGGCAGCATTTCGGCTTTCTAATGATATTTATGTACCGTTATGATTTCTCAAGGATGATCAAGAAACATAATATGTTTACTGGGCAAATGAAGTACAAGGTGTACTTTTTCACGATTTTTCGAGTCTTTTTTCTATTTTAAAATGTTTTGAGCTATTATATAGTTGTCCTGCTTTCGTATACTTCAAGTACAGTCTTGTATTCCACCTTATCTACGCGGAGTAGGCCCTGTTTTTCTTTGCTGTATTAAAAGTGGCCTCGTCGGTTAGAGTTATAAGAGTTCTCACACTGTATCCATGCAAGAATCCCGCATGCTTCTTTTTTTCTTTTTTCATGAAGCGAATTTGAATTTTAGGTATGATTCTGGTGCAAAGAACTTCACACAGATACCCACAAGACATCTCAGCGCAACCATCGATGGTTTCACCATTCAGGATCAATTTTGGCAGAAACCAAAAGTTTCAAATAGCGGTGCTGTTTCTCACAGAAACAATTAGTAGGTTGAATTTAATTTTCGCGTTTTTCAATATATAGTATATTCGGATCGGTCAATTTGCACGTCTTGATCTTGCTAAAGCAGTCGCTGGCTGTTGATTTCTCAGAATTTTCTCGTGGTTAGTTTGTGTAAACTCGGAAGCTCGGTTCTTGCCTTTTATGGATTGGTTGGAATTAGTCATATGCTTGTGAGTTTTCAGGTACAGAGTTCCAATCGGCCATTGAATCTCTATGATTTACTAATATTTGTAGCACGAGTTTATTTATTGGTGCATTTGTTATTAATTCTTTTGCCTTCCACATTTCAGTTGAATTCATTTGTTTACTCGCTGTAACGCCGTTTCTTTTCTCTTATCCAATGCTATTTTAACTTACGCTGTTGTTTTTTTTGCGTATTTTGATCGTTTACTGTCTCCGTTCCCGGTAAAAGCAGTGGTTTTATCGGACGCTTTGGGAACGTCATGGTGCGCATTGGTGGCTTGTCTTCGTAATTATCTCGTATTGGGTTGAAAATAGGGTGACTCATATTGGCTACTTATGTTTTCAAGAGTGTAATCGTCACTGGTGCTTTTGTTAACCACTTGTACAGCTTCGTCATGCAAATAGTGTCTGGTCTTTTCTGGATACAAAACTGTACAGTGTTGTATATTGAGAGGAGAAAGCTAAGTGCATTTTTTTGTGTCTAGATGTAATATATCTTTGACGTCTACTACATCCTTAATAAAAAGGAAAAAGAAGGTGTCATGTTTACGACTAAATGGATATCACTCGAGCAAAACTTATTTTCACACTCCTACACATATTTACAATTTTCGGACACAGTAGAAATGCTAGAATATTGCACAGTACATTTCCAAATAAATCTAATTAATTCTTGCACTCCTAAAGTTGCGGTAGTAATATGATAGTAATATGAGAACAGATGGCGCGTGTAATGCAGTGCTTAGAGCTGCTCTGCAGCACACCCGTGGACTTTGGTTCGATCTCGCGCGTCGGCCTCACCAATCCTTCCATTCGGGGTTAGCAAATTCATAACAGCGCCAGTAGCACCTTAAGTGAAGTTTAGAAAGTCATTTCCTGGAATGACCACTTTAAGTCGGACCGCAAACTGTTTCGCCAAACTTTCATTTGCGATGGCATGAACTTTGGAGACCATTTCAGCGATGAGTATTAGTCCACAGAGCTTATGTACCGCTCTTTTTTATACTCAAGCGCTAGCTTATCCAATAGGGCTGTTATATCAGACGTGGTCTTTGAAAGATTGTCCTCTTAACTTAATAATTTATGGAAAGTCCTCCGGATTAGTTCACTTTGCTAAAAATGTTTATTCGGCAAACGTGTCGACATCTTCGAAGATAAAGACGTCGAAGCGTTGGCCGAATAAACATCTTTGTAAACCTTGTGTTAGCTTAACAATCTAAGTAGGTGTTAATCATTATTACTGAGGTTAAGTGAGAGTGGATTTGAAAAGTACGGTTCATTTTGCATTGATGGATAGACTACTGACGTTGAAAATAGCATTCAACGGTAGACCTTTGCAATTTAAGTCAAGTGTGACAGAGTCAATCGCTTGAGGTAATTATGGAGTCTCGTTATTTTTTCATTTTGTATTTATTTTGAAAGTAATTTAAAGCCTGCAACTTACATTTTATGCATACATGCAATATGCAAATCTTACAAATGTTTAAAAATTTTCGCATACAACATGCAGTTCATTTCTCCGTCAACAACTTTGCTATCAATCATCTGCGGCTTTGGTGAATTGATTCGCTCTTCTCTCTTCAACTTCCGACGACTGATCTTGGAAGGCGCTTTCCAGCGGCTCATACAGCTCCCGTTAGGGTGAGTCCTTGTTGAGTAACTTGTTAGCCAATGGGAGACTCATGTCACAAATCTTGGTGTAGAGATACCTCCATTCATCCACTAAGTCGTACATGACCGTCATCACTACACTGTTCGCCATATCTCCAGTAACAGAAGGTTCGCTAACCAGTATACGCCAAAATTCTGCAATTGTAGCGACCTCTCGAGCAAATTTGAATAAGTAAGCTTATATTTCTGCCTCTTTTATGAAGTATACTGGTGGAAAGCCAGTCTACTCTAAATAGAACAAGGCAACCAGGTCCTAAACATCAGTTATAAAGAAGTCATATAAATCTCCCAGTTCTGCGCACTGAAGCTGGATTTATGGGTTCACACTAAATTTATTGTGGCACAGGAAACTTCACGTTGTCTTGAGCATTCTCAATCTCTCCATTCTCGATGAGAAGTCGCTCGACGACGAAGTTGAAGTCGTAGCCAGCTGAAGTGGGTCAAACTTTCAATGTTGAATTTTCGTCCATGCCCATGAAATTTCATCCGAAGTGTTAAATGAGGAAATTCATTATAAATAGAAGAAAATTCAATGGAATGAAGATGGAGCTAAGTGAGGAATAGGGGAACAAAAGAAAAACAGGTGGTCGACGTGGGTCATTCAGAGATCATTCATACGTACGCAAACAAGGTTACATTTTCAATAAAGATGTCTGAGCTATTATTTAACTTTATGAACCTAAATAAAGGTTTTCGGAATCTAGCGGACTTTATCATCTGGATGCAGGTCCTCTTATTTCATCACAATAAAAGGCAAATTTTTGAGTTTACATATGCAGCTGTCGAGTTGGTGTATAAAGAGCTTTCGCAAGAAATTTCTGGAAACTTCATAAGATTCGGTTCGATGCGACTGCGAAGGTCTGCGTCTCAAGGACGAGCGGCTGTGGTCAATCGACTCCAATTATCGCTACTCTGAGAAGATGTTAGAAGATTAGCCGAATACATTTGATTAAGAACCAAGTGCAAACTCATGAAGAGAACAGCACATTATTTTTGGAAAATATTGAAGACCTTAGCGGATCGGAGGGAAATTTGCTATTTCGAGAGTTCGATTCTCCCAGCACAACTAATTTGTGTAGTCGCAGCGAATACTCAAGCAGCCGCTGTAGCAAGCGGAATCCTATGTGTAGCTTACTCTGTACATCCTGTAAAATCTTCAGAGTTTATACTTTCTACGTACAATTACCAGTCATAGCAGCCTGAAATCTTTTTTATTAACCTGCTTAGTCCTATAATTTGAGCGATATAAGCACAGGGTGCAAGAAGCGCACTGATTAAAGGTCCCATCTAATAATACGCTCAATCTGGGTATTATACCAATTCACCGAAGCTAGTCTCTCATCTCTCCAGGTTTGTAAGTAGGCCGGAAATTTCTTGTGATGAAGACTTGACTACACATTAGCACAGATATCCAGCACTTTGGACAGAACACACTCCACAATCATTCAACGGTATCAGCTGTCACTTGAGTGATTTTTCATTCTTCTTGCGAAGCGACCAGGTTTCTAAAATATACGTAAATCCAGAAAGAATCATGGAATCGCAAAGGCGCGGCACGGAGTTGGGTGTTCTTTAAGAAGGTTCCTAATACTCTTGAAAGCTCCCCAAGTCGCACGCTTCCTTCTGTGCGGAGTTAAGTCGTTCATCACGTTGATTGCCCGAGCTATAAAGGCGTAACTGGAACATTTGGAGACGTTCGTTCGTTGAGCGTGAATGGGGCATAGGAGAACGATCCCTTCCTCATGTACATCGTTTTCGTGAGATTTAGCCGAAGACCAGTCTTTCCACAGAATTTATCAAAGTCGTCAAGCATACGTTCCGCTTGGCTAATGTTGGTGTTATAAGGACGATGTCATCAGCAAAGCGGAGATGGTGTAACTGCCGACCATCGATTTTCACTCCCATATTATTTCATTCTAATGTTCGCATAATGTTCTGGAGAGTGGCGGTATACAATTTTGGAGAGATGATATCGCTTTGCGTAAATCCTCTTTTGACGTCGATGTTAATATCGTTGTAGAATGGTGATATATTGGTTGTGAAATTTTTGTACATCTCACGAAGAATCTTTATGTACTGAGTAGGGACTCCCTGACTGGCAAGGACTTCCTTGACTGCTCCTATCTCAATTAAATTAAAGGCCTTCTGTAAATCGATGAAGGTGAGACAGAGTGGTCTTTTGTACTCTCGTGATACTTCAATGAGCCGTATTACCGTGTTGATATGGTCCATCGTAGTAAATCCTCTTCGAAACCCTGCTTGCTCACATGGCTGCCCTTCGTCTAGTGTTCTACCAACCTTGTTTAGAATGACTCGAATGAAAAGTTCGTAGACGACAGACAGTAATCAGATCGGGCGATATTTGCCGATATCTTGCAATTCACCCTTTTTGAACAATAACACGGTCTTGCTTATCTTCCACTGAGTAACGACCTAGCATTCGGATAGATAACGTGTGAAGAGCCGAGTCAGTGTGTTTACGAGGACTGGCGGAAGATTTTTTTAGGTGTTCTGGTCTTATCCTTTCCGGATCTGGTGCTGTTCGGTTTTTCACCGACGAAATGGCATGTCGGATTTCGGAAGGGAGAGCAGTTGGTACAACATATCCATCCTCCTTTATTTCATATGACGGAAGGTGGACGTGGCCTTCGAAGAGATTCGAGTAGTATTCGTGAATGATTTTCTCCATTGCCTTTCTGGACTCTGTAACTGTTCCGTTTGGGCGCCGGACTGCAATAGTTTTGGTCTTGAAATTGTTGAAGCTTCGGTGGGCTTTCGAATGCTTTTCCCATCCTCTGCAGCTTCGATCATTACTGCTGTTCTTCTCTCTTTAAGCTCTTCTTTTATCGCTTGTCTACATTATTTTGCAAGTTCGGACCTTAGTTTGCAGTTGCCAGCAGCTCGTGCGATTCCACGCTGGCGTATCAGCTCGAGTGTTTCTGGAGACAAACGTCTCTTGGTGACTTTCGAACTCTCAGCTTTCATAGCACTAGCGTGAAGATGTTAAATGAGCCGATCGTATTCTTCGTCGATGTTACCGACAACGGCATCTTCCCAACAGCCGACTAGCGAATTGAATAAGTCCCAGTTTGCGGTGGTTCTGAGACTTCGGTTTTTGAATTTATCTGCTCTTTCTCATTTCCGCGAGAAATAGAATCTTGCACGAAGGAGACGATGGTCTGATCGTGTGTAGAATTTTGGGACAATAGCGACATCGGTTAGGCAAAACCTTCTATTTACTATGTTGTGGTCTATTTCGTCATGGTACTCTCCATTAGGAGACTCCTACGTCCAGCAGTGAGGGTGGAGTCTGTGGAATTGCGAGTTACCATGGATGATCTTGATCGTCACGATATAACTCGCATGAAATGCTGAGATATTTGCAAAACTCCGGACCGCAGGTGCATGCAGTGGGGAACGAAGAAGCACTGTTGTCCTTACCGGGGAGCAGCGCACTTGACCACTACACCATCCGGGTTCGTCGTCTTGCCTGTCTCTCAGCTAGTTCTATCGATCTTTTTGCCATCAGCAATCACCCGTCAACGGGATTGATCTGGGGAGCCCAAATCGGCATTGAACCCAGTTAAACTGAGGCTTAGTTATAATCACAATCTTAACCCTTTTATTTACTGCCTTTTTCTTCTTAAAAGGCATTTCAGAATTTCATACGAGTTATATTTCGCAGCATACCCTGCCATTAAGAAGAAAAAGGCAGTAAGTAAAAGGGTTAAGATCGTCACTATACACTCAAACAACCGCTCACCCTGCTCGTTCCATTCTAATCCGTGGGTGCTAATGTGGCATTCCTCCGACGTTCTTCTTGGTCCAATCTTGGCGTTGAAATCTCCAATGATGCCCTTGAAGAATGTATGATCTTCTCTGTAGAACTTCTCCGAGTCCATATAGAACGCTTCGACTCCTTCTTCTTCATAGTTTGATGTCGGCGCTTGAACGACGAAGTTTGTCAAAGCCGGAATTGACCCACGTCTTTTTGGTTGTAAAAGTTCTTTTTGGGGTTGTAAGTTGTTCGAATGAATCGATGTTCATGGACAAACTCATGTTGACGAGAACGCCGACGCCGCCGACTCCTCCACCATTCCATGTTCCGAGGAACAGTTCTTCTCCGTTGTCATATACGACGTTGAAAGGCTTACGTCTTCTCGTCTCGGTCAGGTCGATGACGTCGTGCCGCATCCTTCCTGCCTGCATGAGCAAGTCTTCTATCGAGGGCTCGGATGCAAGTGTACGTGCATTGTAGGTACAGATCGTCTCCATAGTTCTTTGAAATCCTGGCAGCTTCCATTGGCCCTTAGATTTTAGCAGGCTCTCCGTACTCGTCCTACCCAACGCTGCAAAATTGGGGCCCTTTCGGGGTTAGGGGAATGAGGCCCGTTTTTCTTTTACTGTGTTCAGCATTTCTGGTGCCCACGCATAGCTTGTTGGGCTTTGAACATGGGGGCTGGGTTTGCTTACGGGTAGCTTGCAAGGCTCTCTCAGAGTGGACATGGAGGTTATTTGTTGGAGGCGACTCCTAACATCCTCTCGTATACTTCCCCGTCACTTGATTGCAGGCTTTTGGGCGAACTGCCTCCTAGAATATAGTCCGCATAAAGCGAGAACGCACCCACAAACGCACGCATGAATACGCCTAGCAAGTACAGAAGGCATGTGCCAAATTAGCGCAGCAGAAACAGGGAGTCCACCGCCGGGATCCACCTGCGTCTCAGTGAAGCGAAATTCGCTTTTAGTCCGCGATTAACCCACTATCCGCCACCTGGGGACGCGCCACGTCTCCTCGCGCCTAACCGGCTCGAGATCCCTCATATGAAGGAGATCCGTGGTGGTATTTGCATTGAACGGTATTCGCAAATAATATCAAAGTCGGACACAAATCCAAAGAGATTCTTGGAAGATTAATTCCAGAAGATGAATCAAGTTAAATATGATCCGCATTTCCATCTTATGTGGTGTCGCGTTATGTAAATAGATTGAACAGGATAGAAACTTCACAGAAATCTCTGGGTTCCGGGTCTTGCAATGTCTCACCATCATTTTGGTCGTACTTCACATAATACCGTGCTATGAAAAATAATAGGCACTAAATAAAAATGAATAAAATAAAAAAAGTTAAACAGAAAGAGTTAGACGTCTTCGTCTTCCTCAGAGTCGGTGATCCGAAATGATGCAAACACAGTCGCTCGTTTTGTCGATCTGGTGTCGTTGTTATCATATCGAGCCGGATCTTCCTTACTGAAGTATCTCTCAAATAAGGCATGCTCACTCTTTCTTATACAGGACTGTTCTTATCGATAGCGGTGAATGCCAGGTGATGACCACGTGTTTTTTCTGGGCAATCCATCCTGTAGAAGTTAGTATCGTTATTAGCTAAAGCAAAGCGTAATAATATTTTAAAGTCGATCAGCAAAACTTATTCTGATCATCAGCGCTGAGGAAGACGAAGACTTGGAAATGTTAGCCGGGAATAACGATTGTTTCTCAACATCGTGTAAGATTATCAAAAAAGGAATACACACTGATTAGTCGCACCTCGGTTAAAGGAAAGTCGGTTTTCAAATATTATTACGCTTCGTACTACCTGTTAATGGTACCGACTTCTACAGGATGGATTGTCCGGACAAAAACGAGTGTTTATTTCCGGAGAATCACTGCTGTCGATAAGAACCGTTCCGCATAAAAGATCATCGACAAGTGAGTGTGCCTCATTCGGCAAATGCTTCACTAAGGAAGATCCTGCTCGTTGCGACAACGAAGGCACCACATTGGGAAAAAGAACCACTGTGAGCATGGACTCATCTGATCATCAGCTTTTAGGTAGACGAAGACGTCGAATAGTTAGCCTAAAATAAAGAAAGAAGAGTCGATTCTCCATGGAATCCTGACATAGCCGCTCTGGAGCGTTCCCACTTGGATTACGGAAATGAACTTTTCCCAAACAAGCCTTATACTAATTCACCGACACAGAACAGATGGAAGGCTTAGTATGCCCGCTGCGCTTTCCATCGAAAATCGATGCGATGTGCAGTGGTGTACTGTTCTGCATCACTACCACTGCACCACCCAGTCCTTTCTCGCTATCTTCAATGCCTGGGAAGGACAGATTGACCTGCAATCTATTCAGCGAAGCACTTTCATTACTTCACCAGAAAAAAACTCATTGGACAAATTTCCTTCACATGGTGAACAGTTTCTTTTATGCGTTTACCGCATTGTTTTTTGCACGTTCTCCGGCTATTTGATGGAGATCAGTCCATCTTATGGTGTGCTGAGCAAGTGACAAAACAGTCGCTATGTTACCAAGCAAAGCGGTGGGTACCTTATTTCATTGAAAAGCTAATACGAGTGTGCTACCAAATATTTATTCAGCTAACGTTTCGATGTCCTCGTTTACCACAGAACCGATAGTTCGAGTCGATGGTCCAGAGTCGTTCGTCTTCTCTATGCGGCGTCTTCGTCGTCATAGCGAGTCGAATCTTCTCCAGTGGACATCGTTCGAATGGGGAAACCTCAACCAGCAGCGTTGTTTTATACAATGAAATCTCAAAATCGCTCTGTCAATGAAATAAGGTACATTGATCATTTATACTGAAGTCAAATGAAAGTCAGTCTACAAGAGTGAAACGGTAACAGTTTAAGAGAAGCTTTTCACTATCACCTGTATCACCTGTAGTCCCGTCGATCGTCGAGTGACTCATGCGAGTTGCAGTAAATATTCCATTTCTCCTTGTCGCGTGAAAGAATAGCCCAGTGGGTTTTGCAAGCTCTAGAGACTTGTAGAGTTTCATACCTTTCCTTCAGGCTCTTCGGGAAAAACTCTGACCATTGGGTCGGTGATCCTTCTACAGTACGTTTAACATACCGATGAATCCAGCCATGAATGGCTCGTGTCCATCGATTCTCCTTAAGACGCATTAAGTGTCCAGTTCACCTTATCTTCTTGGCGTATAGAACGCCATCGTTGATTTTTGACCGCTGACGCAGGTCGGAGCTTCGAATCACTTCCCTTGTATGACACGGGATACTCCTTGCAACGTGCTTTCGACTACGCCTACAATAACTCTGAGTGGTCTTTAATTCCGCTCACGCAGCGACCAGGTTTCTGGGGCATACATTAGGGCAGAAAGTACCATTGAGTCAAAAAGGTAAGCACGGAGTCGGGTGTTATTTGTTCTCTTCACTACATCCGTGATGCTCTTGAAGGCTCCCCAAGCTGCTCGTTTCCTCCTGGTCAACTCCGGAAGTAATTCGTTCATACTATTGATTTTCCGTCCTAGATAAACGTAACTGGATTATTTAGAGATATTCATTCCGTTGAACATGAATGCGGCACACGTAACCAATCCGTTCCTCATCAACATCGTTTTTATGAGATCGACTATTGCTTCCGCAATCTTTATCAAAGTCGGCAAGGAATTCTTTTGTTTGGTTGATGTTTGGTATTTTACTCCCATGTTGTCCTGTTCCAATATTCATATGGTGTTCTCGAGGATGGCGATAAATAACTACGGCGAGATGGTGTCGCCTTACCTAACTCCTCTTTTGACGTCAATGGTTAATACCATTATAGAGTGGTGATTATCTTGGTGGTGAAACTTTTATATAGATAACAAAGAATCTTTGTATAATGAGTAGGGGCTCCTTGATAACCCAAAGCTTTCATAACTGCTTTCATCTAAAAGGAGACAAAAGCCGTTCTTTAAATCGATGAAAATGAGACAGAGCGGTATTTTGTATTCGCGATACTTCGATGAGCTTTGTTATCATGTGGATTTGGTTCATCGTACTGAATCGTTTTGAATCCCTGCTTGCTCGCATGGCGGCTCTTCGTCCAGTGTTCTGTAAATGCTGTAAAGAATGGCTCCAGTGTAAAGTTAATAGCCAACATCCACCAAGAACACTGGTCTCTTGCTACCGACACCGGTGATGTCATTATTCTTGAACTATAACACGATATTTTGCTGGTCTTTGGCATTAATTACGAACCTTGCATTCGGACATTTAAGGTGTGGAAAGTCAGGCCAATGTGTTCACCAGGAGCAGCTGAAGGTTCTTCAGGTGTTCAGGTTTTATCGTTTCCGGACCTGGTGCTGTTCGAGTTTTCACCGGCGAAGTGGCATGCCGGATTTCGGAAGGGAGAATCGCTCGTGCAACATATCCATCCTCCTTTATTTCACACGACAGAAGGTGGGCTTGACTATTGAAGAGATCCGAGTAGTAGTCATGAATGATTTGGAATGATTTTTTTTTGATTGAAATGATTTGAATTTTGAATTTTGTTTTTGAATTTGAAAAAAATTTTGAATGATTTTCTCCATTACCTTCCTGGACGCTGTAACTGTTCCGTCCGGACGTCGGAGTGCAATCGTTTTGGTCTTGTAATTGGCGAAGCTTCGGTGGGAATCGCGAATGCTCTCCGCAGCCTCTGCAGCTTCGGCCATTGCTGCTGCTCTTCTCTCCCTAGGATCTCCTCTCATCACCTCTCTGTATTGTTTTGCAAGTTCGGACGTTAGTTCGCTGCTGCCTGCAGTTCCTGCGATGCCACGCTGGCGTGCCAGCTCGAGAGTTTCTGGAGACAGACGTCCATTGGTGACTTTCGAACTCTCAGCTTTCATTGCGCTACCGTGAAGTTGGTGAATGAGCCGATCGTATTCTTCGTCTATGTTATCGACAACGGCATCTTACCAACAGCCGACTAATGAATTGAATAAGTCCCAGTTTGCGGTGGTTCTGGGAATTCGGTTTTTGAATTTAGCGGCTTTTTGTCATTTCCGCGAGAAATAGAATCTTGCACGAAGGAGGCGATGGTCTGGTTCCCGTGTAGAATTTTGAGACAATAAAGACATCGCTTATGCAAAACCTTCTATTTACTATAACGTGGCCTGTTTTGTTATGGTACTCTCCACTGGCAAGCTCCCACGTCCAACGCTGACGGTGGGACTCCTGGAATTGCGAGTTACCATGGATTGTCTTGGTCGCCACGATAAACTCAGATATCCGCTCACCCTGTTCGTTCCATTTTAATCCGTGTGTCCTAATGTGACGCTCTTCAGACGTTCTTCTTGATCTAGTCTTGGCGTTGAATTCTCCAGTGATGACCTTGAAGAATGTATGGTTTTTTCTGTAGAACTTCTACAAGTCCATATAGAACGCCTTGACTTTTTTGTCATAGTTTGATTTCGGCACGTAAACGACGAAGTTTGTCGAAGCCAGAATTGACCCACGTTTTTTTAATCGTAAACGTTCGATTCGGGTTCTTA